AGTCTATAGTCTGTTATAAAATCTGCAGAGATTGCTACTATTACACTTCAGTGTTCTGCCACAGAATGTGTTGGTGTTTTTTTGTTTGGTTTTTTTTTTTTTCCCCACATGTATGGGCCTGTAATTTGGGAGCCATTGTCATGCTCTTCACTAGTCCCCCTTGCAAGAATTCTGGTCAGGGACTGAGACCCTTGCATGCCAAGTAAAACTAGGAAGTTCAGAGAGCAGGTTTGAGGTTTTTTTTTTTGTTTTGTTTTTTTTGTTTGTTTGTTTTTTGTTTTTTTTTTTTTTCCCCAGTGTGGGATGTATTTCTGAGCAGTGTTATACAGTAACAGGAAGAGCTGTGGATGAAAGGTAGGGCACCTGTTGCCTTATGGAGGGCACTCCCTTCAGCTGTCTTTGGCACCTGTACCCTACTGAGGCTGGTGTAGTATCTTCTGAGTGGGCACCATGTCAGACTAGCAGATGGGCTGGAGCAGAATCTTGCCAGAAAACAGTTTGTGCATCAAGGTTTAAATATTAGAAGCCTGGACTCCCATCTGAGAGTGCTGTAAGAGCAGACCACGCATAGCTTTTCTGCCTGGGGTTAAAGGATGTGCCATACCTGTTCCAGTTTAGAGTAATTAACTTTGAAAGTCAAACAGTGGCTTCCATTGCTGTGGAATACAAAACTTTGGCTCTAGTGAATCAAGATTAAGGTTTCACAGGAGGATGAGTAAGAAATGTAGAGAAATTTCTTACCAGTGATGAATGTTCTTGGAGGCATTTACAGTTATCCGCAAAACAGTTCAGCAGTTGAGCACAATTTTCTACCCAAACCAGTTTAGTTAGGTCTTGTGGAAGATGGTTTCACAAGCATGGTACAGAGGGCTATATATATGTAATTTGTGTAATAAAACTCTGCATTCATAAAGCTACCTAGAAGAAGAATCTAGAAAAAAAAACATTCATAAACACGGCTTAGAAAAGAGCCAGTCCAGGAAATGATGATGCATCTTTAAAGTAACAATATAAGCAGAGAAGCAGGTCTTCCTTCAGCTACAATAAAAATGGACTGTAAACACCCTTCAAGCACTGAATGTTTCAGTTCTCGGGAAAATATTGGACATTGTGAAGTCAAGGGGAGAAAGCAGTGTGCTTTGCTGGCCTTTGAATGTTTGCCTTAGTACCCTCCCTATGTAGGAAATATTTGAAGTTGTGTGTTAAATAGCAGGTGCTACTTTTTATTTATTTGTGTACATTTTGTTTTTAGTAACTTTAGTAACTTCCAGCAACTTGGATTGTGTTTTATAGTTAGATGCTCTGAGCAACACTCCTCCCCAGCCCCCCACTTCCCCCCATTTGTTAGCCATTGAAGTTAACAGCTCTTGGCTTGACTTAAATGGGGTCAGAATTTTCCCAGTTTTTTTTTATAGGTAGCCTGTAATTGTGAAGTGTAATATTTTTGAGGTTAGTTTTTGTTTCTGTGGAAAACTAAGCTGATGGTATCACTCTTCAGGATTAGTTAACCAATGAAACAGAGCAAAAAAAAAAAAATGCTAGCAACCCAAGAACTTCTGAAAATAATTTTATTCATGTTTCTCAAACAAATATATCCTCAGAGTATCCAGCAGTGGCAAAGACACCAGCTGTGGACAGGAGCAGGGATGTTTTTCCAAACTGCCAAATCAATGCTGTTTTCTTTTCCACTGTGTAAACTTTGTCAACAAAACTGGTTCTGTGAGAGCCATTGAAAATATTTCACCATATTCCAAATGTGACTGCCACAAATTAACTGCTAGAACTACAACAAGCACGTTTGAACTGGCAAATAGAATTGGCACGTTTCTTTGTCATACTGCATGCAATTGTGCTGTGTGGTTGTAGGAAATCGCAGTTCATCCAGAAACACCCTTTTGTTACCATGTCTTATTAACATTTAGAAAGCTACATTAATTAAGGTTGTGGCACTCAGCAACAAAATGGATGAAATTCATGATTAAAGTGGATGATAAGACCATGACTGCTGTGCCTGGGTGAAACTAGGGAATTCTGGACATGGGTTAATTTGAGGTAAGTTATTTGCTCTGTTGTGTAGGCACAACAGTTGGAAATGATGGCAAAGGATGTGAATCTTACTGCACTGCTTTATTTCAGAGTGCATTTTAAATTTGTATGCTTTTCACTGGCATGGTAGCTGCGATTGTGGGATGAAAGGGAGGAAGAGAAAATAGAGCTGTGCCCTTTGCAATTGTTTTGTGAGACTTGTCTTGGCAAGAGACAGAAACAGCCACAGCCCCCTACACAGCTTCATCTTGGGCCAGTGCTCCCAGTTAACAATTATGCAGACAATGGTTTTGATTGTGTACATGCACCAACATCCCTCCCCCCAAATGTAAGGAGATTGTGCATCTCTAGTTGATAAAAGCAACATTAACTGCAAACTGGGAACTCTCACACTTGTTATGCTATTTTAAGATATCCTTTGCAAACATAATCTCACCATATAGTGCTGCTGGTACTCTATGTGTATACTTATATGCCATCAGAGACCTCCTGCCTATCAGCATTGCTCTCCTGCAGGGTCTCTGCTTACTGTCCTGCAGTCTAGCATTTAACTGATTGTAATATTATAAATAGCCATGTGCTACCACACAGAACGAGGCTAGCACATGGCTAATTACGAGTATACAGTAATTAACTATGAGCTAAACTCGCAGGAGAGTATGTGGTGGTGGTCTATGAGGTATGTAATCAGACTGTTTGTTAAACCTTGGGAGCCTTTCCAGTCTGTTAAGTAACTATACATAGTAATGAGACAATTTTTTAAAAACCATTTATGTTTATTTATGGACAAAAAATAGTCTATCTTATTTCTAGGCTGCGGTTAAGGTATTGCTGCCTGATATATGAATGGTTAATTAAAATGATGTAACAAAAGGTACGCATGCAGGTTCTGCTTATCTGTAGGTATGAGATTAATTGTCTAAGCATTATCTGTGTAAGAAGTTTAGAGTGTTATTCATGGTGAATGTTATGCCTTGTTTCATGTATGTGCAGTAAAAACAATAATACCATTTCTCCTTTTGTAGATTTGAATGTCGTGTTACTCATTTTGTGGAGCATCTGTTCCTGTATCTTGTTGAGCTTTGTCTGACTTTTTTCCCTTTTCACATTGTAATGATTGCCAGTTAGTTTTGGTTTTATTTTTCTTCAGGATGTTCTTTCAGTGTGACTCCAAAAAGCATCCACACTGGCACAGTGTAAGAACCATGGGGGTTAGGCCCTTTTGCTGGGCTACCTCCTGTTAATTGCTCTTCTTCATTACCCTGACAGCTGTTACTGTCTGTTCCAGATTACCATGAATGAGGCCTCTCTTTATAAAATGTCAAGGTGTCTACAGGGAAGTTAGATCAGACTCTTTAAAATAAATTTAAATTTGATACTTCTCTATACCTATCAAACCTCTGTTAAGTAACTTGGTATTAAAATACATTTTCTTATACACAGATTCTTTTCTGATCCGTGTCAGTAAGGGAGCACATCTAATTCTGTTTGGGCACTGTGATGTTGTTGAATACAATGAAAACACATGGGACCTTCCTTTAAACTAATGTCTTCAGCTATTAACACATAGTCTACATGTGGCAGAGAAAGATAAAGGCTTGGGCACCTGTACCTTAATTCCCAGTTCAGTACAATGATATGGTAAGAACAAAGTTTACCAAAATTTCTTTCCTGGTCGTATGATAGCTTTAGATTGTATTCTGAATGTGACTGCTACTTGTTTGAGTCTATGGATAGTTCACACCTTCTAGAGATACTGGTTTAGGATGTGTTCATTTTATCTTAGTGTGTTATTAGCACAGAAGCATTCATGTGGGGGAGAGTCAAACAGAAGGCAGCAGGGACCCTGCGGGTGTTTGGGGTGTATATGCTGGCAGATTCAACCCAGATGCTGAATAGAATTGAAGGAAGATGGCAGCTGAAGGAGTTGGTTCATTGTAAAAATATTTTTATGCCCTGACCATCAAAAAATGTAAGCTTGGATGGTTTGATTAGATCCAAGTTTACTTGATTTTTATTATGTGGATAAAAGTAGTCTATTTTTGTGTGTGCTGATAGTTGAAGTATTTCACACCTGGACTGTTGTTGGTATTTGATCATTATAAGAAGTTTGAAAGGGACACTTATTTCCTAGGAACTGTATTCTTTTTAGTTTTTTTACAGTGATGATTCTAAAAGATGATTTAGTCTCATTAAATTTTAATCCCAGTGTAGCTCCATGTAGCTTCAGTAGTATCAGAGAGAACTGATAGTTCTCTCAGGGTCAGAAGAAAATAGGATTGCATTGTCTGTGCAGAGAGGTTCTGTCTCCTGGGCTGTAATTGGCACATGTGGTCAATTATTGTTTTGAAATCTCTACTTGCACTGAGAGACACAATCCCTCATCTCCCCTTTAGGCAGGTGGTGGTTGTGCTATCCCTAACTTAGGCCAGTGTCTAAATAATGTCAGAATAGAAATCAAGGTTCTAGGGCAAAATTAATTTGTAATAGAGGAAAGCAGACAATCCTGCCTAGAAGCATAATGTAGGTCATAACTTTTAAGCGGTGTCTTTGTCACGACAGTGGATTGACAGCAACCAAATACAGAGGTTATCCAATTGACTGGAATGACTTAAACATAGTCTGTTATAATGGAATACCTCATTGTGGTGCAAACGTGCAATGGGGACATCCTGCGTACTCCTTAATTAGCATCGAGGGGGAGACTTCTGAAAATGCGGATTAAAATTGCCTCTGTACTTCTTGATTAAAACTTCCATGTGTGTGTTGTTTTCGTTTTGTTTTTCTTTGAACTTGGCAAAACTCTGACCTTTAAAAGCAGGAATTCAGACAAAATGGTGGGTATCTCTGTCGTGTATTTTTTTGGTCACCTTATGCAATGTTAGCTTGGTGTTTGTTTGCAATTATATTTTCTTGCATACAGCTCGATCCCCATCTCTTTTCTCATTTTGCAGCTTCCCCGCAAACTCATGTTCCTGTAGAAGATGATGCAGTGCATGTAATTAAAGTGGTAATGTGTAGATCTCATTTCTAAATTGTTAACTTACATGCAGTTCTTTCTCTTAATTATCTATCCTTATTTTCAGCACTAGGTCTGTATTGCATGCTTGTGGCTTTTGTTTTTTTCCCTATTTTTTTATATCTCGATATACTTTCCCTGCTTGGGGATATATTTGGCATTTCTGTGACACACAGTATTTCCTTGACTTGATTCTTTCCTTTCATTGATTACTGCCCTCAACTGTTTAGTAAAGAAAATCAGACTATGAACTTAAACACACCTGTTTTACAGTATTTCTGAAAATAATGTCTTAAATACTTTCTGAAAGAATCTGTTCTCTTTATGAAAATGTGTTGCCAAACAACTTTTCTTTTTAGCTACTTATTAAAGTTACATTTCAGATGGCATGGTATATGGGAGGTGGGAAAAAAAGGGGGTTCATCCCCTTTGAATTTCTCATACACTTTTCTTTAGAAACTGTTGGCATTCTAATGTATTTTATGATACTAAGTTTATTTATTTCTCAATAGGAATATCTTGAAAATGGCCCCTTATTTTCTGAACTGAAATTTTACCAGAGGGCTGCAAAACAAGAGCATAGTAAGTAATATATTGGTTCTGATTCAGGCAGACTTAAGGACAAGTTTGGGTTTAACTACTTGTAGTAAGAACTGTTGCTTTAGAGCTCGGTAGTCAACTCTCATTACATGTACACTGAACTAATCCTAATTGGTGCTGTAAGAATTTTAGATTGCTGTAGGTTTCTTTACTTGGATGTCATCCTTGTCTTTTCTGATCAGAAGGGAGAACAGAAGCATGTCACGTTTATTATGTGCACACTTCAGAGTGCACAGCAATGAATGGACTCCAGAGAGAGGCCAGCCTTAGAAGAGAGGTACTAGATGGACTAATTGGTGACCATATTTCTGCTAGAAACTATTTTCATGTGCAGAGCTAAGAGTGTGTGTAATCATAACAGGATTTAGTAGTAATCAAGGCACTTGATTCTGCAGACGCTTAAGCATGGATGTGATTTATTCATGGGAAGTGTCCTAAAGACTCTAGATGACTTAGATTGCTGGTAGACATAAGCACTTTCGATAGCTTGAAGCATTCTGTATTGAATAAAGTAGAGCTTCTAAGGAAATTATTTCTTCAGCTATAGATAATTGCTTGTCTACCTTCCAAGGCAACAAAGTACCATGTTTGTTGAACAAAAAAACCTGCTGCTTGTTTTGCAGAATGTAGAGAACTTCAGAGTAAAGTAGGGGTCTGAACTGTTTGCTACACAAACTGCCAAATAGGTCTTACTAGTTTCATTGTTTCATTCAGAGTCTTAGCTTGATAGCTAAAACAAAACAGCAAAAAACTCTCATGCCAAACCTGAAATTCTCTAGCTACCTTTAACGCAATGCTATCTTTTATTTATTGTTACAGTAAGAAAATGGATGAGTCTCAAAAAAATAAGATGCTTAGGGATTCCAGTGTTTTGGGGATCAGGCTTGGCAGAATACAAAGGAAAAAGGTAATAAGATGAATTGTAATTAAGCGTCAAATTGACTGAAGATCCATTTTTATCAAAACAGAGACAAGTCCTTTCAATCTGACACAACTTTGCAGTCTTGTCTTAAAGAATTCCTCCCTTTTATATATTTCCTGGCAGCTATAGATTCATGGTCATGGAGAGACTGGGGGAAGACCTTCAAAGAATCTTTGAAGAGTCTGGAAGCAGATTTAAGAAGGAGACTGTTCTGCAACTTGGGGCACGAATGGTATGTACTGAGAGAGAGAGGAAATTGCTGTGTCTCAAACTTGCTGAGTTCAACTAGAAAATTATATTTCTAATGTAGTTTCTTTAGCTGACTCTTGAGTTTAGAATTAAACATGTGTAAATGGTATGTATTGTCTAATTTCTCACCTTTTTTTAAATGAAATGAGTACTAAGTGGAAAATCAAGACCCTCTGCAGACTGGAAGTTTGTGGGCTCAAACCAAAATTTTTTCCAATAGATTAAAACATAGGCCATACCCTTCAAAATGTGTGACTAGACTGAGATGTGTAAGCCTATTCTCATACGCTTTAACAGGTATTGATTTTTTTTTTTTTTTTTCCCCCCAATGTCTGAAGGGTATTGTATTAGACATCCATATTTGTTGAAGTTCACAATTGCATGTCTGAATGCAAAATTTTCAGTGTGTTCGCTGAACACAGTGATTGTACAGGCCAGGATTAGGCTAGTCTGCAAATACCGGTTTTGTTTTCAGATGTGTGTAGATTGGCACATACTAACAGAGGGTTGTATAGGTTCTCCTTTGTAATATCATTTGCGTTGTGAAAGACTGCTATTACTGGACAGAGGTGCACAGCAAGTGGAGTAGAGGCAGTGATCGTAAGTTGCAGGAAGAGGAACTCTGAGTATCAAGGAAAGGTTTTCACAGAAAGAGTGTCTTAGCACTGGAATGTACTTCCTAGAGGCTGTGCAACATCCATCCTTGGGGACTTTTAAAACTTGACTATTCAATGTCTTGTACAGTCTGATCTAGCTTACATTACTGCTGCTTGAAGCAGGGGGTTTAGATTGGACACCTCTAAAGTTTCCTTTTAACCGAAGTAATAATAATATTTTAAAAAAAGGTGAAGGGCTTTTGAAGTTATGTAATTGACAAACTTGTAACACTGTTTATACTCTCCAGAAGCCAGGATTAGGTTGTCCTTTGTATGAGTACCCAAGAGCAAGTGTGCTTTCTAACAAGAGCAGGAGCTATCCTACCTCAGTAAGGAGCTGAAGAAAGATGGTAGTGCAGGGATACGGTGACATGCAATAACTGGCGTTATAAACCTTCAGGGCTGATTGAATATGTTCTTTATAAGAGCTTGGTATTCTTAACATTTCCTCCAATGTTTATAAACTACTAGTTTAATTCTTGCTTTGTGACCTTAGAAGCTGGTACACAGGGATACCTCATGGCAAAGTATAGCTTGTTTATGATTTGCCAGCAGCTGTGTGCCTAGTGGAAACAGGCCCTGTGGACAGAGTGGGTAGTCCTTGTGCTCTAACTCAAAACAAACTTGTCAGCTCAGTCTGCGTAGCCCTTTATTTCACTGTATAAGTAAGAAATATTTGGTGGTAGGCATATGAGTAGAGTGAGCGGAGAAGATTATGATGTTTTCTTTTCTGTTTTAAATCCTTTCCTAGTTGGATACTTTGGAATATATACACGAAAATGAGTATGTTCATGGTGACATTAAAGCAGCAAATCTACTCTTGGGCTACACCAACCCCCACGAGGTAAGCATGTTTACCTATCTACACTGTTACTCTAAGTTGTTTATAACTGTTTAATAGTTTTCAGCTACGCATATTCTCCATTAACAATTTGTGTAATAAGAGGTCTATGCATGAACATTCACATCCTCTCACAACAAATCTAAGAGTGGCTCTGTGGAGTTTAAGGTCTGAGAAAGAAGCAGGACAAAAATCTGCTTTGCTCCCTTTGTGCTCTGCTGACATGGGCTACTGGGTATGCATGGGTGAACTAATCAAGAGGGGAAGTTAGAAGACCTAGTTGCTGTTCCGGGTTATGTCAGTTTAAGTATATTAGTGCAGTTTAAGGAGGTGTCCCATTGTATTTTCATCCTTGGGAAGTTCTGGCTTTCAAATATTGTCATGATTTGTGTTTCCATGCCACTGATTTTTATGTCCTGCTCGTTGTAGTGGATGTAACAGGTAAGTAGGATGAAGATGGCTGCTGTCTAGCACTCTAAAGCTGGCCTTGAAATTGAAGTGCTTTGGTGAAACATTTTGAAACAAGTCTTTTGGTCTTGTCATACTCCACATACTCTTACGATGTCTTTTTTGTCTTCAGTTAATAAAATTGAAGTTTGCTTTTTTTCTTGGAAAAAAATATAATTTAGGAAAAGAAGACGTCTTAACTTCACTCAAATATAAATTGCTGTAAGCAGTACTTCTCCTTTATTTCAATTTTTGGTTTTTGGCTGCAGTGACAAAGAAACAGATCTTGCAAAACAGCTCACTGCCATTGAGGAGCTTGAACCATTGATCTATATCTGCTTTTTTACAAGATTCAAGTTAAATGGTTGAGTCAAATTTGACTTTTCAGCTTTGTAAAACACATAGTTTGAAAGCTATCGTGGCTGTTTAAAGCAACTGTGTTTTAGACAGTGGCAGCAGCCAGTACATAATCTCAGTTTATGGTGTTTACCAGCCTGCTGAATCCAAAGAAGGAGGCTATTTAGAGGCAAAACGATCTGTTACCTAAACCCATTAACATAACTCAAATGACTTCTTTGTCTTGGCTATTGTGTATTTTTATGACAGCAAGATATGCTGCTGTTTTTCACATTGAAATAATTTTGGAAGTGTCCATTTACAGTAATCATAAAATTTTAAGACATGTAGCTGACTTTGATCAGCTGCTTTTGAATTAGCCAGATTGCAGGGTGATTTTCTGATTTGTTTCTCCTGTTGTCTGCATGAACATGCTATACTAGTATTTTGTTTTCATGAGTAGTAGATTCAGATTAAAAGTAAGGTATTTGTGAGTTATGGGACAGAGGTTTTAGGTGGAAATATAACTGAAGTTCTATACATTAAATGGAGAAATCAATAGATATTCCAGTTTAAGTAGCTCCTAGCTCAACATGTACAAGGTGTATGTTACTGCTGAGAGTTTTTGTGTAGAATTTGGTTTCAGTAAAATTTCTTTTCCACTGAAATTATTCTAGATAACATTTTGAAATGTCCACATTCTAATTCAGAAGAGCTAATGGGAGAGAATTTCTAATATTTGCTTGCTTTGGTAAGATATGAATGAAACTTTCATTTTTGTATGCTTAAGAAAACTTAGAGCTCTTCAGATATTATTCAGATAAACTTCCTGGTCATGGGCTTCAGAAATTCTGCAAGTGGCCACAGGTCTGCTGATTGCACTGAAGTCGTGATAACTGCACCATACCAGTCTACAGCCATGTAGACAGTGATGATTATTTCTCAATGTGCTTTCAAGTAATGTGTAGTATATTTAGCTTACATAGCAGGGTGGATGGCTTAATGGGTCTGCTTTTGGTCAAATAAAAAATTATTTTCCAGACGCAGCTTGCACAATATCTTGAAACATGTATGCTCTGTGACTTGTAGGGCATGAAGAGAAGGAATAATCTCACCAACACCATAGCTAAAACTTTCAAACTAGCACAACTACATATGCCATTAATTGAATATCCTTCCCCTGGAAATGTTGACTTTGATGTGCTGTCCACCCCCATGCTTCAATAAATATTCTTTACCTGTGTTAGGAGCAGTACTAGACAATATTTTCACACAAGTATTCAGAACTGAACATGTGTACTTGCACAGATGATTTTGCATTTGTCATGTCCTGGCTATTTGCATGTAGTTTTGCCATGAAAGTCGCTTCTTCCTGTTCCGAATATGTCCAGATCCTATGTAAGACTTTGTGATGTTGCAACAGCCTTGTCTACAAATCAAGCTGTCTTTATAACATGTTGGTGGGCTGAATGTATTATATATTTACCAGGACAGTATTTTGGGAAGCTCTGTGGAGCTTTATCACTGACTAAACATGATGACAACAATATGGAGTATCCTGTCCTGTATCCTCTAAACTGTTGTCAGAGAGCTGTATTTTAATTTGGCAATCTCATACTAACCTTAGACACTTCAGATAAAACCTCAGACACTGTTATTGCTACCAAATGCCTGTGAAGTGCTTTGTTGAACCTTTTCTCTCTCCTAAAATGGTGGGTAGCTAGATTGTCTTGGTCTTGTTTTTCTAAAACAATGGAACTGGGAGGTAAAGTGATCAACCTAATCTCATAAATAGGGAGTGAGAGCATCTAGGCAGTGGCAAACTCAAGCTCAGACATACAAGCAGAGACCTGTAGCTCCAGTGGGAGTTGGCATGATAAAGCTGTCTGACCTAACAATTTCTGTGGTGAGTTTTTGTTAAGACTTTTATGTTGGCGGGTTCTTGCTCTTTAGGGTCTAGGATTTTAAGAGAAAATAAAGTGGAAGTGTTCTTTAGTTCTAGAAATTTGCTTTTAATAAAACCCCATAACTAATAACTTAAAAAAAATTATATATATTCGAAATGTATTTCCATATTGTTTTGGTGAAGACACATAAATCTCCAAAAAAAGCATGTGTACCTTTATACTCAGCTTTGCATTTTTTTGTCATTTAGTGGCTGTTCATGTGTACTCCTATGTGTGAATTTATCACTGACTTCCTGCAGTTCCAAAAATCATTTTTCTGTGTTAGACTTTCTGCTGTTACTCTCTCTCTCTTCTGTAAATTAACCTGGTAAATTTACACCACAGCCGATAAATATCATAGTCCCCTTTTTGAAAGAACATGTGAAATCCATACTGCTATCCTCTACCTTCTGTGGCAAGGCAGAGAAACAAATAAAGTAAAGGTCCTGTCACTCTGTGACCTCCAAATGATGTTTAGAAATGGTTAGAAGATCAGAATCAACTGACCTCAAAGAGCAGCTTGCTGCAGATCTGTTCAACAGAAGGGAGCGAGGCCATTCAGCGAGTTACAGGTCAGAAGATCAATTCTCTAGTCAATATGTTTCTGAACATGGACCCAGCACAATGACTGACAGAATAGGAGTGATGTACTGAGGGAAGTACACAGCCCATGAATCTCAGAGAGGCCTGAAAGAAATCTTGAAGTGATCAGACCTATAAATTACAGAACAAGTGAAGCACTGTCTCAGTATTGCAGCAAGTTAAAGATAACTTGGTGCATAGTAGTAACCATATGATAAAGCAGAATGAGCATTATTGATATAAACTCTAAAAGAGAAATTCAAATCCATTAAACTCATTTAAATTGTGTTACTGTCGAAAGGGACAAGTGGCCACCAGACAACAGCTTAAAATCAGAGTTTTTAATAAATGAAATAAGGTTTGGAAGAAGGCGTCTTCCCAACAATTATCTCATAGTTATTTTCTTCCCCCCACCATGGGATATATGGGCAGTGTTGCAGACTCCATTCTGTACCAATAGTTGTCTATTTGGATTTTTAAGCTGTACATTTTAATTGCATTTGTACCTCAGTTCTGATTTTGATTTTAAGCATTTCTTAGACAAGATAGTTACAGAATAAAACTCTCAGACTTGATTATCATAGCCTACACAAAAAGGAAGAAAGAAGAATATAAAAACGTTTCAAAATATGAACTTCTAAGACCAGTTTTCAGTGGACCAGCATAAAAGATAAAGAGCTCACACACTGAACATGTGGGAAAAACATGCATGAAAACATTTCCAACTTGAAGTCACTTTTCATTATGAGATGGTTCGTTGTGATTGCTGTTCTTTAGTCCAGTACAACAGATTTGCTAAAGAGCAGATGAATTGAGAAAAAATAAAATATTTTCTGTTCTCCTTCCCGTGTTTTTAGGAAGGATACATTATGCAGTTACTATACAGAAACAGTTGAGTTTTAACACATGGATGCTGGCTGTGCCAGTGATCTGAGATGTAGCTTCATGATCAGATGGCCTTGATTTTCTTTCTTCAGTCCTACTGGTACATTTGGGTAGAACTGTTTACACTGGTTTCATTTCTTTTTGTAGTAATGGCCTGAATATCTTGGAGTTCAGTTGATTCCAACATCGGGACTTGCCACTGTCAAGTCACAGAAGATTTCATCCCTTCTCTCCTTTGTTTAACTTGCGGTCCTTCTTCCTTGGCTTCTGTTTTGTGAAAGATGCTATTTCTGTCCCAAACACTAGAGTTCAGACTTCATGTCCTGAGATGGACTTCAGTCTACCTTTAGCCTTTTTTGTAGTGTTGTGTCCAGCAGAAGCTGACAGCACTGTGGCCATTAGCAACCAATCTGCCTCTTACTAGTAGGTATCTACTTAATTATTTACAGCTCATTATATAACCTAGTGATGGAACCACTGGAAAGAAACTGTACAAAGAAAATCAGTGTATTGTTATGCTTTCAGTGATAAATCTGCTATGTGTACTTCAAGATAAAGAGAATCTGAAGTGCTAAGCTTCCCAGATCAGTGTAGTTATATATCATAATATATACAAATTGTAAGAATTTTATATGTTTAGCAGATACTTAGTTCAGATATAAAGCACTGTGAGGGAGTCCTGCACAGAAAGGACAAGAGGACTGCTGAATCTATGGCTGGTTGCTTGCGCACATAATGATTTGTGGCTGTTCGCATGAATAAGATGGGCACATTCATATTTGCATGAAATTAGGTGCGAAGACTTTTGAACTCTGGCTCCTAATCTATAACAGAATTTATCAATAACAAGACTGTGCTAAGCCTTGCTGAGTCTAGTGCAGACTGGGATGTGTAAAAAAAGATAAACTTGAACAAAACCAAGATTTAAAGTAAGTGTGTGGGAGGGAGTGTACAACCCCAGCTGTACTGGGCTTATGTCACTGTTGCACCTTCATCATCCATGTTACCATTTCTTGTTTTAGGTGTCTTGTTTCTCTCACTGTGCATACGCTTTGTTCTCTTTTTGTTCTTACTTCTTTTGTTGTTCCTAAAAGAAGCATGCAGGTGAAAAATATCTGTAGTGTTGAAACAGACACTAACACTGGCTTAATTTTTCTCAATATTCTTCAATACTCACCTTCTTTCCCCCCTCCCCATACTCTAAAAAACCTCACAACAACCTACAAATTTGTTAACTACCTGTACCCACCATGTTCTGAGCAAATTTGGAAGGACATGCTGTGCTACATTGTCAAAAAGTGACAACTAGCCATAAAGAACTATATATCTTTTAAATGATGAAAGGGTTATAATGAGAATTGATGAAATGAAATTAATGGTAATTTAAAATAATATAGTCATTCTGATAATGGTTGTGGCAAGGTTGTAACAGTGCATTGCTGGTTTTGTACAAGCTGAAGGGGATTGATTTTTGTTGGTGGCCAAGAGGCTTTGCTTTGAGAGGCTACCATCGTTTGCATGTTTGTGGAAAAAATCTGATGTGAAAGTTGTAGAAGTGATAAACAGCTTGGGTAGAAGTAAACTGAGCAATGACACTCATGACCAACTTCGGGAGCAAACTGTGGCGCAGTCATGGATGTTGTTGCAATTGCATGTGAATGGCTTTAAGAAATGATTGCTTCTTAGTTTCCAGGTTTTGCCTGTCAAGGCAGTATAATCTAAAGCTGCTTTTCACTTTTAGAGGGGGTTTTTGGTAGGAGTTGAAAACTGCTCTGCCGATATTATTACTGAAGGTATTTTAAAATAATGCACTGCTTAAAAATGGATTAAGAATACATAGTTACTGTGATTTATATGTAAGATAACAGATAACTATTTCACATAGTTCAAGTTTGACTAGCAAATGTTTGTGGCTACCTTCTAGACGCCCTGTTGTTAGTTTGAAAGACCAAGGCTGGGCTGCCATATGGGAGTGTCTATCACATAAGCTCGCGTTCCCAGCCCAGACAGAAACAGAAAGCTGGCAGAGTTGCTTTTCTTGTATTGTTTTTTCTAACAGTTAAAATCTCATTTTACTGTAAGGCATAGCCTGAATTTGTAAAGGTTGAAATCTGCTCTGTATTCCATTTTATTGTATCTGGTCAACTATACATGCCAGAAACTTATAGTCAAGCAAAATCCAAAATGTACCACTTAGCTTGGGAAGAATACATCTTGTAGCCTACTCTCTCCTTCCCAGCCCTCAAAGGATGCCGAAGACTCGCAAAACTTGATATTAAGGTAGTTTAAATTGGTTCTCTCACACTTACTGTGGGCTCAATTAGGACAGGTACCAGTGCATCGGGAATACACTGGAGAGCGGTTGCAGGAGAAAATCAAATTGGTCAACCCAACAAAGTTTATGCCTTGTCCCAGATTTTCTAAATGTGCCTATGGTCTTTAATCTTGTATCACAGTTTGTGTAGTCTGTCAGGTGAAAAACATCATCGGTAATCTTAAAAGCCATCACCCTGCAGGAAGTGAATGCTGCATCCAAGCTTACACGCTCCAAATAAGCACAGATCCTGCAGCAGAAACAGTAAAACCAAGAGAGCAGCCATCCCAGGATTTGAAGCTGCCTGGAGCACAAACAGGAATCAGTAGTTCAACAGACTGTGCTACAAAATAATGCGTTAAGTTTTCTTGAGGGTTTTTTGTTTGTTTGTTTTTCTTCTACCAGGAGTGACATAATTAAATTACAAGTGAGTGCCAGAAGAGTTTATTTTAGACTTTTATAGGATAAACTATTTTTTAGCTAAAGAGGAAACAAAACTAAGGTTCAAATAAGAAAAAGTTTTTCTTTATAATATGGTTTAGTAGAAATGATCTCTATAGGCCTTCAGATGATTTAACTTTTGCCCCAGAGATCAGTTCCATTGGCAATATAATAGCAGTCTGTGGCATTTTTTTTTTTTTTTTCAAGTGAAAGTACCATATTTGGGTATTTATGAAAAAGCAATTACCTAATGTGAAAACTGGTCAATGTACAGGGCAAAGGCCAGGTGGGAGTGTGAAAATGACAGAGTGAGAAAATAACCTGTGGGATATTGTGGAGTGGACAGTCTGTGATTAAATTCCAGCTGCTTTCAACAAGTTACTGCTTGTCAGCTCTGCTGCAGTAATCGACCATGTGCATGTATTAAGTCTACTGTTGGAAGGTAAAACAAGTTAATCTGAACTTCATAGAGTGGACTTGTGCCCTTAATCTAAATTATGTGAGTGGCAGAATCGACACGGATGCAGTGCTGCGTGCGCAATGCCTATTGAGCAATAGAGGCGTAGGAGCCAGATGGCATGTTCGGGTTTGTCTTGACAGGCAACAGAAGAACAGAAAGTAAGATTCAGCTCTCCTGAGGTGTTCTGTTTTCAGCTTCAAATACCATAAAAGTGAGCAAGACTTAAGTTTAAAGTCAGTTAATAATTTCACCACGAAGTCCCAAGAAGATGCAAGTGCATCTCCCAGATACATCATTCAGAACTGTGGGGCTTCCTGCCTCTGGTGTTTGAGGTAGCTATTGTGAAACATCTCGGGGAAAAAAAAAAAAAAACACCTGTGCTAGGATGGAAAGGTAAATGTGGCAGAATGCAGTATACACAGTGGGGGGCCCAAGTTCTTCTCTCTTCTGCTGATTTAGCTCCATGGATTTGCTTCAGAGTAACTTAGGGTGAAGTCTGGCTCTGTGCCTTTTAAAAAGTTTACTATAAATTCAGGAGTGATTTACTAAGATTGTTTTCGGGGGGGGGGGGGGGGCAATGCTAGTTTGTTTTGCTTTGTTTTATCTTACTTTTGATATTTAAATAGCTGTTGCCAGTACAAAGTTCCTAATGATGACAGGCAAAAAGATGAGGCTACAGTTAGGCTAATGGCCAGCAGCCCCGTGGTCGCGGTCCCTGTTAGTGCTGGAGTCCTGTGTCCAGTCTGGCTGGGGGAAGCTGCTGCCTCTCGCTTCCTCTGGCTTTTAAGTTGCATTGCTGTTATGAAATTGTACAGTCTCAGATGGTGGAAGATTTGAACAGGGGTTGTGTATGTGCCTGTTTAAGTAAGGAGAGGAAGAGGACCCATAAGCAACGTGAGGATACATAAAAGGCATATTGCAGTTTATGATGTCTAGATGCCCACCTGGAGAGGAGAGAGCTTAGGAACAAAATAAAAAGACTGAAATTCTGCTCGACTCTGAAATAAGAGTATAGTAGTGGAAGGATTTAAATGGGGAGGGCAGCTGTTATAGCCCCCAGTTGTACATATTTTATCCTGAGGCACCATTTGGTTTAATAAAATTTAGATCTAAGGCTGTCCTTAACCTATCAGTTTCTTAAGACTTAATTATAAAGGTTATACTTTCAAAGGACAAAAGCATTATTCATTTGTCTGTTCATGTCTTCCAGGTTTATCTTGCAGATTATGGACTTTCCTACAGATATTGTCCCAATGGGAACCACAAACAGTATCAGGAAAATCCTAGGAAGGGCCATAATGGGACAATAGAGTTTACCAGCGTAGATGCCCACAAGGGAGTAGGTAGGTTTCTTTTTTTTTTTTTTATTTCAGAGGAGTGATTACAGAATGAGTAATCAGGCTGTGTGAGCTGATGTATACAATAGAAGTAGTCTTGGGGATTGCTCAGGGTTGATCAGACCCTTGTGTGGTGACCTCTTCTTGTTACCTGGGAATGCTACTCCAGGGCTGGTGGGGGAAGGGGGGCAGCACGATTAAAACCGAAGGGCTGCTGCACATCTGGTACTTCGAAGGCAGACCAAGACACCCTAAGAAGAGCTTGCCATTAAACTTAATTGGTTCATGTTGGGAGTACTGGTTTGTGTTTGCTATACTCTGTAGAGACAGAGGCAATGTTTGCTAATGTTGCATTGTCAAGGAAAAATGTTTCGAGTCTGCACTGTCCTTTAGGGAGAGCTGTGTCTGAGTGTCACCATCTGTGTTATGAGAGGATATTTCAAGATGACATTCCTCCTGCAAGGAGAAAAACCTTTTTTGAAGCCGTAAAGTGTTAACTTTTTGAAATCTTTTTCCAGTAGCCTTTCATATATCTTACTTATTTAAACTCACTTTGATGGTATTGGAAACACATTTGCAGGTAAATTACATACATAGTCCTTTTATTGGATATTGATTGTACTGCCTTGCATTCCAAGGCAGACTTAATTCAACAATTCCCTAATTAGTTAAAGTCATAACCTATGTCTTGTATTCATTTACCATTAATTAAACCTTAGCTGTTTATTACACTGCAGTCCAAATCCAATAGCAGACCCATAGAGCCATGGAAAAGGGAATGGGAGGTCAATATCGAAAATATATGGTGCAAAGTCCCACTGATGGCTGCATTGTTCACAATCAATATGGTCAATGCAACACAACTTTCTTAGTTGCTATGTCAGCAAGACAAAAAGTCAATTCTAATGTTATGCTAGTGAAAAAAATGGTGATTATTGAAAAACTTTGACTCTTGCTACGAAACACTGTTTTTGTTAACTTTTCTTTCGCCTATTCCCCTCACCCCCAAGATCTTCTAAAACAAAAGGAATGCTTCTCTGCTGCCAGCTTTGCTCGGATCATAGTGTCACAAGCGATAACTGTAGAAATTTGTGCTTGTTAATAGCTGCTGAACTGTTACCTTAAACTAATACTTTCTAACGAGTTTTAGTTGGCACAAACAACTGTATATTATTGCTTTTTCTATTAAAAGGACCATTGACCATGTAATGTAGAGGGTCTTGATAATTTGCCGGCGCTGTTAAAACCTGCAATCGTTTAACTCTGGTCATTAGGAAAAATGAAATAAGACTGTCAAGTATTTGCTGCTAAGACAATTGCACAATTTCACCTGCTAAAAAATATTTTGTGGTGAAGACATCTGTTTCAGACCCTTCTAGCCCTCCTGAGCATACAGTGCATTTTCTGGAGATCTGACTCTGGCTGTTTTTCCTGGTAGTGCGAGCAATGTGGCTGTGTACTAGTGTTTGATGTGGATACTGTTTGAAGAATAGGTGGCAGCTGGAGTATTTGGGATTTGCGAGTTGGATCGTTAGAGCGGCTAGTTTGTCTAGTGGACAGGTGTCTGTTGATGGGTGTGTGATTACAGGATAGATAATTCCTTTTATTTGAAAGAGTAGGGAAATTTTACAGACTTGGGTGGCAAAAAGCGTGCACGTGCAACTGTGAGTTAAGTTGTGATCTTTTGCAATCTGTGGGTTAGATTACCCCCTCAAGTAGCTAATGCCATGATGAAATTGGTGAAAAGCAGAGGACTGCAGAAAACAAAATATTCAGAAAGATACCTTGAGGGAGCTTCCTCCCCCCCCATCTTACACTTGAAAATTTTTTTGCTTGTTAATAGCCGCAAACAGAAAACACTTAGATTTTTCTGATGCTCCTGCCGGAAAGCCTGCAGAGCAAGATGTGGTATCTGGTATACAGCAGAGAATCCAAACTTTTCACAATGAATGTCTCAGCTCTGACCTTGTAACAGCCTGAATCCATTAAGGTCAAATTACCGGAGTTTCCCATTTGCAGCAGGTCTCTCAACATCCCAGAGAAAATACACATCTGCAGCGACTTCTGTCGGAGATGCACAGGTCCAGATGGCAGAACACAGCAACTGGTTTCCCTTGTCTCGTTGTGAGGTTTAGAAGTTGCAGAGATGCTTCAGGATACTAAAAGACTTCCAACAACCGGGGCAGAGGGCTTTGCTCAACAATCTCCCCTGCTCCTGACTTGTGATTGAGTCTCATGTACCGAGTGAAGCGGGTGCTCTTCTGAAAAGTGGTTAAAGACTGCTTCACTGTTAGCAAATTAAAGCTGCATAGACAGCCTTCAGGATGGCATTCTCCAATTTTTCAGAGTGGAGTGTTTTTTATTTCAATGGTCTTGGAATATAGTTCTAATTTTTAAATGTTATTTTATATACATGAGTTCCTTTCCAGAGGGCATTTCCTGAATGTACATAGCAACATAAATATCTCAGTCCTCAAAACCCCTGAATAGTACCAGTCACTGTATCGAGCTAGACAAATGAGAACATTTTGACTTGCTCATAAAGTAGCTACTGGAATATATACAGCAATTTGAGGTACATGCTGAAACTTAAAACAAAATTATGAATTCGTTGCTTTCAAAAGTGCCTCTTGGCAATGCTTGAAGCTGATAACCTCCTTGCATAAATCCAATCAAATGTAACTACTTCCCACTAATTTAAATCAACACTGGTGTTTCCCTAGTTGAATTGAAAGTTTAACCCCGCTGCCTGCCTGTTTATTCCCCAAGTTCTCTGTGGAGTTCATCAGGTGTTAGATGTTATGCCGTCCACTGAGATCCAGAAAGTTTCCTACCAGCGGCCACTGCATGGTGACACTTTCGGGTTAACGCCTTTGGGCACTGATGATGCTTGGTGGCTTTGTGCTGGAACTGAAGAGGAATTCCCCCCGAGCTGGGAAGGGCTGGGAGCAGTTGCCCTGCCTCCTGTCTCAGCTCTTCACGCTGGTTTTCTCTTCAGTTTTGCACGGCTCAACTCTGCTCCGTGCAGCGTGTGCGGGCCCCCCAGCCGGGCTCTCCCGTGCCGCAGTGCTGCCTGGGGGCTTCCAGGCTCGGTGGGTGTTTGCAGGTATTCACCACGATCTCCATTACATCCCCTGTCTATGTCCAGAGTCAGCTTTGAACCAAATCAGGGCCCAAGTTGGGCTTTGCCCCAGGTTCTGACCCACACCGCTGGCATTCCTGTATTTGGTGACTGGATCTCACTGCAACCAGCATGTGGGTCTTTTAAACGTAAAACCTTTTTATTTTGGTGCAAACTTCATCTGGCGCAACAGCATTGTTAGTTTTAACGTAGTATTTGAGTATATTCATTTTTAAAGACCGTGCTGTATAAACAGTATTACGTTTTTGTTTGTTGATTGATAATTAAACAGAATTATATCTGCACCCAGTGTACATTTAAAAAATGGTTACATAGTTAGTGTTAAAAAGTAATATTTGGATCAATGCCTCCTATGGATTTTTGTAGATTTTCTACTCACTGAGGCATGCAGTCAATACCTAATTTCTCTGGAGATATACTGCGCTTAACATATTGAGTTTTTTTTAAATACTCCAGTCCTGTGCATTGAGTGCGTAAGACCAGTTTTAATTTGCTATCATTGATGACCATAAGAGTATGAACTGTCTATGTTGAATTCCCTCCAGCATATATTTGTGTTTGCCACAGATTTCAAGATGATTCTCCTCTTCCTTTTAACAACATTTCACAGTAACTATTAGCAATTTGCCATCTCTCGCGTTGGGTAAAAGGCCTACCAAAATCCTTGCAGAACTTACATCTACATCTGGAATAGTGAAAGCTGCTTCAGACGGTAGCGGTGAATTTTGAGAAGCTTAAGGATAAGTGGGCTTCTGATGACATTTGCCTCAGCTAGGCCCACTGGTTGTGACTTTTTTTGAACTGCTGAATACGTTTTGTCTGAGCTGGTTTCACTGAGCAAAAGTGTGCTTGTTTATTTTCATCTCCTGTGTTGGGGAAGGCAGTTGCAGCTATGTTTGGTGCCATGGTCTTTGTGCCCCTCTCATTGGGTTATTCCAACATGTGCTCCTTGAGGTCTGTCCAAACGCTTGTACGCTGGGTTTGTACGGGGCAGCACAGGCTTCGGGCTGATGGTGGGGAAAGCTCTGCGCTTCTTGTTCTTATTTTCCCCACTGGTCTGACAGAACTGTTGCTGTTTGGTAATAAAAACATAGCTCAATGCTTGTCTGTTTTTCCTTTTCTTTTACATGCAGAGGTTGACTGGAATATATGCAGGGTTCATTTTGTGAGGAAGGATGTGCGAGAATATAAACACCTATGCCTGGAAACATATTCTTTCTGAGCCTTCATGGCTTCCAGAGAACAGTTCTGAATGGCTCTGGATCAAGAGGTTTATGTGGTGTCTGTCCATATATAGTTAGGATTCAGAGGGAGCCTGCTGGATTTTTTTTTTGGTCAAATGAATTATTGATTTGCTGCAGTTTGGTATGTGTTACCCAAAGACTGTGTTCAGGGCAAACTGTAAATCCTAAAAGTAAAAGGAAGGTATAACTGGGCTGGTGAAAAATGGGTGGAACTTTGCAGTGTGAAATAAATAAAAAGATGCTTTAGTTTGTAAGTGTTGGATTGGAAATGTGTGCCCAGCAGAAGAGGGAGCAGGAGGTCGTTGTAAGCGAAAGAAAAGTCAGGCATTAGCAAGGAGAAGATTGAATAGGTTCCTATAACCACCTCTGTAAGCTTATTCTGTCCTGCCAAGAATGTCCAGAAGCAGCAAAAATAAGATGAGCATCACAACTTTCTAGCACAACTGTTGAACGTGGCTGGGAATTGGCTGTTTGATTTTTGGCTTTTGTTCTCTACACCAGGAATTCAAAAAGTTAGTGAATCTCCCAGCTGCTTGTCAGCCCCTTACCTTTGTGATTTTTTTTTTTTTTTCTGCCACACAGATGTGAAAGAAGAGTAAAACTTCCTGTCCCCACTCTCCTGCCACATGCTCTCCTTACTGCAAGCTTGGAACCTTTTACTTCTGACCAGGTACTTGCACCTCTTGCCCCCACCGTTTTAGCTCCCACACAGATCTTGTGGGGAAGTTCACTTCCATCTTCCAACCTTCCCACTACCAAATTGGGACCCCTGCCATCTTCCTTTCAGCACGTTCCACTCCACCAGTCCTGATGATTATTCACTCTGTCCGTGTTCAGAGGAGAATCCTTCTGCTGGCTTCACTCTTCTCTTGTGGCTTCAGCAGAGCAGGTGTGAAAACGAGGAGGCTCTGCAGTTAGATCCTGCTGGTCAGTGGACGCGTGTAACTCCCTGAGCAGTGCTTGCTGTGCACGGCTGCACGTTAGGCTGTTGCGAGTGTCCAGGACAATCTGCTATTTTGAAGAGGTTTGGGGATCACTGTGGGCATTTCTGGCCTGTGAGCCCTGCCAGCTCACTGCGTGCTCATGAACTTTACCACGGCAGGAGAGCGGCAGTAGCGTTGCTGCTTTTGTAGGCCCTGAAGCGAGTTACCCGGCTGCTATGCAGGGCCTGTGTCCCGTGGCCGACAGGGCTGCTCACGGGCTTTGCTGCTGCCTGTGGGAGGACGTGGGCCCTCGGGACTGTGAGGGGCTGGTATTGTCAGGATGGCTCCTCTGTGACGGCCCAAGGCGAGGTCAGTGCTGGGGAGTGACAGTTGCATCCTCCCCATGAACAGCTGCGGGAGCTCCTGCCCGCTCTGCAGTAGGTTTCGTGCCGATCAGCCGTGTGACCAGTTGAGTGTAGCTGTAGGATCCAAATTTAGGAGGGAGGCTGTAGCTGGCATGGGAAAAGTTGCTCATTGCCGTGGCCCAGACTGAGTTCTCTGGAAGAGTGGTAGTCCGGTTGTGGTGACACGGTGTTTGCACTGGATTTGTTTGGTTGATTGGTTGGTTTTTTTTTTTGTTTGTTTGTTTTTGTTGTTTGTTTGGTTGGTTTGGTTTGGTTTTTTTTTCCCCCCGACTTTCCGCGGTGGTGCTGGTTGTCAGTGGGTACTTCATCAGTGTGCCAAACCAACGGTGCAGAACTGTATGTAAGGGAAGGAGAGGTTGTTCCTGGCCCCTGCTGGTAGTTGCCCTGCCTGAGACTGGATAACTGTATAGAATGGCCTCCGAGCATTAAACTTCATCAAACTTTTTAAATTCAGCTATATTTAACCTTTTCTCAGTAGCTACCCTCTCTATTCAGTTAGTCGTTTTCCTGCTGCAGTGAACTCAGACTGACCAGTACCTTGGGAAAGCAGTACTTATTAGCTTTTTTTTTTTTTTTTTGGTCTTTTCTTCTGCTTCTAATATAGGCACTCATTTTTCACAGGTCTTGTATTTGTCTGGTTTTTTTATCATCTCAACCTTGAGTTAAGAAGCTATATCACTTTTAGTTTTATTAAAACATTGTGATGATACATTTTTAACATAATTTTATTTCTCCATGGTCATGTTAATACTCCTTTCCTTTATGGGCTTCTGGATTAATGGCTATGGTATGAGTTAGATTTGTTTGTGAATTAACATGAATTTGTATGCTGTAATGCCAGTGAGAATTGGAGGTTCCACTGTGCGTAGATGCAATATGAGCAACTAAAATGATCCTTTTTATGAAAAGCTTCCAATCTACAGAAACGCTAATGGTGAAATGATAATGTAACAGTGCTAAATAAAAATAATAGAAAAGCATTTTATCTGTCACTCGTTAGCTTCCTAGATCTTTACAAAAGGCTTGAGGAAGTTAGTTTCATAGGGCCATAGAGGACAATTCCCATTTTTACATGGGTTTCAGAGGAGTTCTTGGGGGCAGTGTAGTTTTGAGAGCATATTGTGGTCAGTGTGATATCATTTATGATCTATTTTGAACTAGTAATCTGAATATAAATTAGGGCTCAAATAGCTGTCTAATTCAGTATAGAGAGATGTATAACAAATTTTATTCTCAGTGTGAATTTGTTTCAGTTATGTTATTCTGAGTTGTCATTGAATCCTGTGCCTGCATGTTGAGTATATGTTTGTGGCATATGTAAAATCTGCTATGGCCTGACTGATTTCATTGTCATGGCTGTTAATCCATTAACTTCAGTGGAGTTATTCCTGATTTATCTTGGCAGGAGTGAGGACAGAATCAGACCTTAAATCTTAGAATTAAAAAATTAAACTATAAAAATATTGTGAAATAAAATATCGCCAACGTGTTCCCATTAAATAGTATTTCATATGAAATGATGATGATGATGATAATAATAACAATAATAAAAAATTCCTGGTTAATAGAAAAACATAAATCAAATATCTATTAAAAAAGAAAGAAAAAAACTATGAAGTTTTTAGTCTACAGAGAAGTAAGAGAATTTGATTTAATTAAGTAGTGTTTTGAATATGTACGCTTGTAACAGTGACAAGTTATCAAGCAGAATCGTTTTATGTTTGCATGGCTATCACATTTAAAATTAAGCCAGATTGACTTCTCTGTTGATGTTTATCAAGAATTCTTGCAATCTCCAATTGTGTTAGCAGATTTATTCTTTCCAGTAAACAGTTGAAACTTATCTGTGCTTTTTGGGGGTTTCAAAATTGATAATTCCATTGTTCATAGGTAATATTAATTCATTAAAGATTAGTTAGTTGAATACTTTTTTTTAATAAGGATGTAGATGATTTTAAAAGTTGAGAAAGTTAGCATCTTTAATACTGAGCTGACAAAGGAGCAGAGAGAAAGAATAAGCTAGTACAGTCAAATAATCAAATGTTGACATTTTCATGTGGTTCTATGAAAAACACATGTAAATGTCTTTATGTAGTAACATTTGCAGTGACTTGGGAGATAAAGTGATATGGGAATTTGCCATCTCTCTGTAAAACATTTCCCCTTTTACTTTTTAGTGATGTATGGCTTAGTTATAGGTACTTTCCCCCTCCAGCTGACTGCTGTGGCTTTAGGAAGGTATTAGTAGAGTCTTCCTTGCACACATCTCCCTGTTCCTGATGGCTTTGCCCTCGTGTGAGTCGGGAAATGGCCGGAGGATCTGCATGTGAGTGAGAAGGCAATTAGTCATGGCCAAACTGTTAACTGCGAAGTAAACTTGACTCTCGGGGGACTGTTTTGTCAGAAAACGAGTTATCTTGGGTTAGCTTCTGAAACCTAATTGACTTAGCATTATTTACAGATTCATATCAATTAGCCCCCTCAGTGGCAAAAAGTAGTCCATTGTAATTTTGACAATTTTTCTCAAAAGGCCACTTTCTGTAGCCCGTCTTACACAAGCAGGTGCCAGGAAAGCATTGTGTGAAAATTAGAGAATCTGCAATCAAAAATCCTGGCTTATGTGGTTATAATCTGGAATTGCCATAATGGAAAAAGGCGTTGTGAACACATGTGTATGAATGGAATTGTTCCGCAGTTAACAGGAGATTTATGGCTGAAGAAATCACTACAGAACAGCAAGTGGTAGAGATTGTGTTTTTATTTTAATACGAGAGCCAAGTCTTGCATTAGGACGTTGCTGAATCTAGTGCAGAAAATAAACGACACCCAAGGGATAGTGTAGCATTCTGTTAGATTGAAGGGCCTTTAATAATCCCGTAGTCTAATAGCAGTTAAGATAGAGAATGTATAAGAACTAATCTTCTGCTTTTACAATAATGTGTGTACAGTAACAAGAAACAGTTATGATGTGTTGGCACCGTAGCTTTTAGCAGATGACTTTTTAAATTAAAAGATAAGTTTGTTGAGTGACTTTCTGGAATTTATTTAATGAAGGCCCATAAAATATGATATCCATTTACAGCTGGATTAACAGCACTATGCTCAACTACTAGTTTTTACGCTAGACAAGAAGTACCAAACAAATCTGAAATCTTCTTTCCTTCCTGGAAAGTGCAAATCCATTTCGGAAAAGCATAAATTTAACTTGTACATATGTCTTTCTTTAATCACGATTAACGATTTCTGGTTTTGCAGATTCCATATGGTCTCGACTTGCAAACTATAGGCTGCAAGTCAAATGTGTACGAAGAAATTTTGCAGCCATCCTGCTTGTTCGTTTTTTTCAAGTTTAGTTTCCTCTGAATAGCAGCAAGCAACGGCAATTCTATTAGTATTGCACATTTTCTCCCTTTTTCTCTCAGAAAAGTTGATCTACAGATTAACTTCAGTTACCTGGTTTTCTGCATAGATGATGTTTGGGGTTGGGGTGAATTTTTTTGATTGAATTATGTCTACTGTATTTGTATTCTGTAGTTAGTGTATCTGCTCGGGGTGTGCAGAGTGAGAGTAAGTTGTTCCTGAAAAAACTTCCTTTTTGGAAGCAGCAGTGGTAAGTTTACCCAAGACTTGCTAAGCAGCAAGTGTGTTTCAGCCTGTGCTACGACTCTCTAAACAAACAGTTCACGGTCCGCGTAAGCAGACAACTTCGGTGTGTAAATGTACACTAGATGGCAGTTTTGTCATATCTTCCAAGTTCAAATAGCTCTGTAGGAGAACAGGAAAGGCCATCAGTGTTTAGTCTGCACTCGCAGGGTCCCTGCATGACCAATGTGGACCCCATGGACTTCCTGGAACATGTGTTAGCAATTTAGCAGCAGACATTTATTTCTTTGTTTTACTGCTTGGCTCTTTGAGAAAGTGTTGGTACTCAGTTATGGGCTGTCTGGATCATGTCAGAGGCCATGGGGATCAAGTCCATGTGACAGGCCAGACTGAGGAAGGATGAAGTTGGAGGAGGTGAGGAAGCTGACCCTTCCTTCAGCAGTAACAAGTCACTGCCTGTCTGTGGACTGCGGCCAAATGCCGCGGCATTTTAGGTCTAATACAGCTGAATAAACAAAACACTTTGCCCATTTGGCTTTTTCATACTTCATCAACACTAATTCAATCAAAGTCTTTTCTATTTCCTAAGAAGAGGCTCTTATTCTTAATTTTTTCTTTTTTCTGTTTTCTTTCTTTCCCATCTTCCCCCCTCCCTCCCCACGTTTTAGCCCCATCCAGACGAGGTGACCTTGAAATCCTTGGCTACTGCATGCTGCAATGGTTATGTGGGAAGCTGCCCTGGGAACAGAACCTGAAGGACCCTGTAGCTGTCCAGACTGCAAAAACAAAGTAAAAATAAAACAACACACATATGTGCACATGCATGCCACCCTAGAACCCTGGAACGTCCTCATCACTTAACAGAACAGGTCTGAAAAAGCCAGCTTTACATCCTGGAGAATAGCACCTTGCAAGAAAGCTAAAACAATTTTCCTTAATTGAGAGATGTTAGGAGCAGTTAAAACTATGACCTCTATGTGCACGTATACCCTCTTCCACATGTTTATGTAGGTACTGCGGTAGAGAGATGATGAATTCAAATGCAAAGTACGCGGTCATTTTGTCTGCTGTGCATTTTTTTAAGTCGTCTTTTTTTTAAAGAAAACATTTGTGAATTAGTGCAGGCCTTATTGCACATACAGAAGGTTGTCGTGTGTTTCTATTCAACTTCATGGGTGCTTTGTAGAGACTATAGTACAAACATCTCTTGGAAGTTTTTCCACATGTGCATTCAATTTATTTAACTTTCTATATGATAGTATTTTTCAGATGTTTTTATGTAGGTTTTTAATGTTATATAAGCCTACTGCCGTTACAAACAATTAAATACCAAGATACTAAAGAACTTGATTAAAATCTTTCCTTTTTCCCAGCATGACTCATTTAGAGCTTACTAAAGCAACAGTGTATTAATGTTTTCTTTCTCCGCTTTCACAGTTGGGACTTGAGAGAGTTAATTGCATGTGGTACAGTGGAGCCTGTAGAAGGCTGTACAGAAGAGTAGTTACCCATAAATGTAACGTTACAATTGGAGAAGGCAGAAAAACTTTTAAGTAGGGCAAGTCACAACAGAGGTACACAATAGGGATAGCTGATCCACAGAAATCAATCTGCAAATTCAGTGTGGCATCGGCTCTCAACAGAGAAAAAGGTTAGCCTGCAGACTGGGGATAATACAGATTGCATCTGTAAATGTTGACATCGTATGTTATGTTTAATATTTCTCCTTTAGAAGTTCTGATCATTACACAACCCCCTGCAATGTAACACTTACACAATTCAATGTTAAATCAATTTAATCAATCAAGCTGCTTCACTAATGCTTCACTAATTCTTCCCTTGCGGTTAACCCTTAGATTGCTAGCATTTTCAGGATGCCAAGCAAACAGATGCTTCGAGGAAACGCACAGAAAATGTCACAGATTCCGTTTATCAGAAATATCCTATTAGGCTAATGAATTACATTCTTGGCATTAAGTAACTTGCCCAGGTCATCCCTTTTTATTTATCTGAATTTTCAGTGCCTATACTGTTTTCAAAGGCCAGAAATAGACATCTGGATATATGTGCTTATCCAGTTGCTTAAAAATTAAGACGTACGTGAAGCAGCGCAGCGGAACCGCTCCCGAGCGGGGCAGCGCTCGGCTGCGGCGGCTGCGTGGTGCTGAGGAAGGAGGGGCTGGGGCTGGGACGGGGGGCGCGCTTGGAAGCGGGACCTCCAGCCCCGTCGTTCAGCGGTTCTCTCCTCCTCTCATCCCTTCACTACAAGCTCTTAGTCCTTCCTCCCAGTAGTGCTGGGGCAGTGAGGCAACCGTGCCAAAGCTCTGGGCGTTGGTGAGGGGGTATTTAAGTACTGCTGGTATATTTGAGTTTAGAAATGTTGGTGCCCTGCCGTAATTGGAGGAGAGGCTCCGTTTGAGTTGGGATTTAAGCTAGACTACAGGAAAATGTTTGTGTTTAAAAGTTTCATTTCCCCCAAATTGAAACCCTGATTTCTGATACTAAGCAACAGATTACTGAACTGAAGGTTATTAGCCTATGTGCTCCAACTTTATGCATTTGGGAACGCATCCTGTTACTTATTGGTGGAGCTTTAAGGCTTCTTCAAACAAACAAACAAACAAAAAGGGATCCTTTAGCAGCATTAACAGCCAGACTCAACGAACGGGTGTCACTTACTCGGGGCAAGGGGGCTTGTGCAGCTGCAGGTCCTACATGTGCTGGGTCACGCCGGCACAGAGATGGGATCTGGTGTTTCTTCACCCGTTTTTAGGGTATGATTGATTCTGAGTTCCAGGGCCCTTGGCCATTTTTCTAGATAGATGGAAAGCACATCTGTGGCCCTGCCCTCCAGTTTGTGAAGTGCATGGGACTTCAGGTCGTTTAACCTCCCTCTCCCCTTTCGTGCCTGCCTGTAGTTTTGACAGCCGTCACCCAGCTGCCCGTGAGCTACGTGGCAGAAAGAACCTGATGCTAAATGGCTGGTAGGCCAAGCAGAACTGCTTCTTAAATTCCAAAATACAAATATTAATCATTAAGCTGGAATCAGAACAAGTCATGTCAGCTCAAAGGATTTTTATTTGCCTTTCTGAAAAGTGTTAAAGCTCAGTCTTAGCTGTAAGCCTGGTTTTGGTGAAATCAGCAGTCTCCGAAGAGTTAAAAATATAGCTGGTAGGAGGAGATTTTGTTTTAAAAACAGTACTGTGAATCATTAGCTATCCCGGAGGTCCACTCCCTTTGGAATTGAGACTTGCTGTCTTCCTAAATCCCAAATGAAGAATCACCTGCTTCAAAACCACATTAAATTGTTGCATTCTCATGTTGTTTCAGACTTATGGATGAGCTCCCACATTCGGTGATGGAATGGGATTCTTCTGGAAGCAGCTGTAGTAAGTGTACTTGCACTATGTACCAGATAGCTCTTTCGCCTCTTACAAAAAGCACTTCAGTGTCTTACTGTGGTTGGGGGAAGCAGAAGATAAGTAAAAGAAACACAAATTTAACGAAGTCTTCAATTTCAAATGTTAAATGCAATTGCTAAGTTTTGCACCTTGAGGCAGTTGCCTTCCCCAGGCCCGCCTCCATGCCATATTATCGGGCTCTGGTCTTAGGGCAAACTCTAGTGTGCAAGCAGAGATCATCCTTGAATCAACCCCTTGAAATCAAGGCTGCGTGAACCACTCCTGTACGCACCTGTCTGACAGAAGGATTCAGCCTGTGATATCTGTATTTTGCTGATAACACAGGAGTTATGCAATATTCATTGTTAGATTATACGTCACGGTCATTAGTTCGGGGTGCCATTTAACTGAACTAGTATTTCTGACTTCAGCAGAGCTGGATCAGGCCCTCCGTGCACAAGCTTATTGTATTTTAAGCATTTTTAGCTCTAAGGCTTGTTTACTGCGAGGGAAGAAGGTAAATTTCTGCATGCTGTCGAATGCTGGTCGCTCTGCAATAAATGATTCTTGATGCTTACTGCTACAGGATACTTGGGATACTTAATGCTTTTATTGCAGGAACTCTTTGTCTGCTGCTTTCCTGCATTATCCCATAAACAAGTAGTAAGTAGATGAAATAGACACTGAGGGCTAAATTTTCAACCCCAGTGTGTGGTAGCATAAAAATCTCGATCAGCCTCATCTGTGATGTATGGCATAGAGTGACATAAGGGATCTTAGCCATATGTAATCCGAGGTGTTAGGAAGCAGTGACTATCTTAGCAACAGAAGTAGCTGTTAGTATGGAAATAGTAAGCAACTGTCTACAAAAGGTTTATCGCTTAGTATTCAGAGTTTGAAAAAGCAAATGAATGGACGGTTTGTCTTGTCATATGTTTCTTCCTTCACTGAAATACAAAAGTAGCCCAGGAAAAAACACCAAACTTCCTTCAAAGGTCTGTATCTATTTTTGATTTATTCACTTATTTTCATAGCATTCCTGTATTGGAATGACTGGAACCCATTGTGTATTACATAAAATATATTCATGATATATATGCATATTTAATAAACCTTTACTTCTGGGATTTTACCAGATGCTAATATCTGGTGTAGTACTCCAGTTTTAGGATACACTTGGGTCTTCAACTGAAAGAAAAGTTTGATCCCCCCCATACGTGTTTCCTAATGAATATCATTATTTCTGCCCATTCAGTGATTTCCCTCTTTCTGAAGCCACTCGATAATGATAGGAAAAAAAAATGCTGCCGTTAGTCTGTTTTAGGATGTAATCTCAAAATCAGTGTTTGTCACAGTACTAGAAGTAAAAAAAAAAAAAAAAAAAAAAAAAAAAGTTGCTTTTTTTCCAAAGCATTCAAAGCATAATAACTATGCAGAATAAAATTGTGTTGTTGAGAGTAGTTAATATTTAAAGGGCTATTATGACCTATCAAATATAAAATACCTCAATTTTACACAGAACTATCAGTATCTGTCAATAAAGTATTTAGATTAATTTTTATACGTGGATAGCTTTTGGTACTGTAAGAATTAGTGCATGTGCACAGCAAGACATAGCATTTAAGGGATAGCTTGTTTATCCAAGTCCAGCTTTTCCTTTTCTCATCTCAAGAAGACAAGATATTGTCAGTTCTGTGTTTTGAGTGTGCCTTCAGCTGAAATGGTGTCATCTTGTTTGGCAATGTAGGATTGGCATCCCACTTGGAATTAAATTCTTTCTGAAGTTCTAGGTTTATACCAAGTGAAATTTACATTAAAATATGCTCCGCAGGTGAAATATCCAAGTTTTTGGCATGTGTTTATGGCTTAGCTTATGATGAGAAGCCGAAGTATCAAGTGCTCAAGAAAATCCTGCTGGATGGACTGGAGTCAAGTGGAACTCGCTACGACGGCCCTCTGGAATTTTCTGCTGCAGCAGGCACACGAAATCACCGTGCTGCTAAAGTGTCAAAAGTAAGACAGACAGTTCTGGGATTATTTCTGACGTCTCCTGCTTGATTGTTGCCTTTTCTTTTGTCAAAGAGGAAAGAGTTTACGGTCTCAAAATGAGACTGACACAGCAGTTCTTTTGCCTTAAATACACTATGTTTGTTAATTCCTGTTTCCCCTGGCTTTGCTAAAAAGTGGGATGTCAGCCCTTAAGGAGGAAGAACTGCCATGAGTCCTTTTGACCTGCAGCCTCTCACTTCAAAGCGGTAGGTCTGTGGAGGACGATTTACTTTCAGGATAATGGGGAAGTCAAGGACTTTGTTCACTAACATCTTGAAGAGAAGTCTGAATGCCAGGTTTTTCCTTCGTTGCAGATTAAAAGCGAAGTTACCTTTATTAGTGAAAGCATTTAATTCATTTTCTTGCTTTCAAACTGTTCTTTGTCATTTGCCTTTATACTCCTGCAGCCACTAATGTGGAGGAGGTATTATTCTGGGATTTAACTGTGCTATTGGTATGCAGCGCTATGTGATGCGCTAACACAGAATTTTAAAACCGACAGCTCTCGCGTTACATTTTCCTTTCGTACTTTTAAGTCTGAAACGATACAGTTAATAAAACCATGTTTTAATAAGTGGGGATTGAGGTAATTAGCAGTCTTGCTGGACTTGCTGTGAAATGTCAGTCCCGTCATACCTCTGCCTCAAAACTCCCCGTATGCACAAGCCCCGTTCCTGTCTCTGATGCGTGTGCAATAAGGCAGGGTCAGGGGACCATTCATTTTTAATATTTCTGGTGAACTTTGGACCATCACAAGTGTACGTGAGCCAAGAATGCAGGATGCAAACTAATGTGACTGATAGGCTGCTAGATGAATGGTGATTCAAGTATCAGTGCACAGATGGTTCTGATTTGCTGAGTTTTGTAGCTGCTGCAACTGAAGACATAAAATATCCTTCTAGTCATAAATTAGCTCTTTGGAAGCAAAACCTTGGCACCAGAGCTTTACAACCTTCAATTAGTAGGGAAAGAAGTATTTGAATGACTGTGGTATTGACATCTGTAGGCCTGCATAGTAATCATTCCTAATAGAAGAGAATATCTGTTTGAGGGGGTTTTGCATGGCTAATTAACCACCAGTGAGAATATGTAATTTTTTCATGATCTCCTGATTGTCACCTTTCTCTCATGATACAATTACATTTTATTGTAGCAAGTGCCTCACAAACCAATTGTCAGCACTATTTACGTATTACGGAAGGCAGAACAAAAGTTCATGTTTAATAAAAAGGCACCGGGTTTTGATCTTGGTAATTACAGATACTTATTTGAGCAATTTTGTTGACTTTTCTGGTTTTATCACTTTTTAGTTTTTTTTTCTTTTAACAAACCCAAAAGCTCTTTCAGTGACAGTATTTCTCTTACTGTGATGGTGACCACTTTGTCCTCACTATTTTGAGGAGCTTTTTTTAAAGTTTGTACTGTTTTCTGAACTGGATTGAAATATCAGGTAGCTGCTAACCGATCTCCAGCTGATCCTGTTGGATCTCTGGTTCACAAGAGTCTTTGATTTCTTAGAGTCAGATACTGAATAGTAAATCTATTTTCTTCTTATTGCCTGGCCTAAGACTTGACAGTATGCTGGCATAAAAGATGATCCTGACCTTCCAGGCCATAAAAGCTGCTGTAGCACTTGCTATTTGCAAGTGCACAACCCGGCTGAAAAAAATCCATGAATGAGGAGTGTCAGTTACCGCTGCTGTTGTGCTCTAGGACTAAGAATTGGCTTTGATGGCCAAGAACAAGATCAGACCGAGGGTATGGCTGCGTATTACTAAATCTTGGCACCTGCCATCACTTCTTCAGAGAAATTTTTCATGTTGAGTGTCTTGCTTCTCGGAACAGTAAGAGTGCTAGCACTGCTCCAGCGATCACCTATTTTTCACTTGGGCGTGTTTCTTCAGCCAGTTCTGCTTCCTGTAACGTTCGCTGCAAAACAGCTGCAGAAAGGAAATTTCTAGGGCTGTTCAAAGGAGCATTAAAATACAAGTACAAAGAGTAGATAACTGAACTTTCGCTAAGTTTATTGCTAGATTTTCAGAAAATCCACTTTTTCAACCTGTGGTTGTTGGCTGTGGAGGATATTCAAGGCCTGGTGCACTTTGGTGCTACAGTCCTGACAGTGTTCGATGACAGGCAGGCACTTCCCCCTGCATCTCTTCACGGCACTGTCTGTAGTTATCCTAGGTCTGACTCTTTTCATCTCTGCATTCCCTTTCCACCTCTCCTTTTATTCACCAAACACTTCTCCCATTAAAGAGGCAACCTAAGAATAGTGGGAGCCACTACAAACAATCCACTGTCTCCTCACTTCTTGCTTACGAGCGGAATGTGACTCTAGGTGACCTGTCTGATTCCACCTGTACCAGTTTGGTGCACAGTAGAGAGGTGATTTGGGGTTAATTCCCTTCTGAAGACCAGTAAGCACCCGTAAGTACCAGTGAGGGGATCCTGTAACGCTAGCTCCTCGACGATGATGTGATGAGGAATTGCTACAGAAGATGAATTTTAAGATGCAGCTCCCTGAATAGTACATGAATCTAATCTTGAGATGACATAAAAAGCGTAACAGTGGCTACATCCTGGTTCTTTGTTTCAACTGCACACCAAACATGGGTGGTAAAATATTAATTGCAGTAATTCTCAGATTTTTTTGGCACCGGATAAATATTTCCAGCTTTTTCACCTGCAGTGAAAGTACTAGCAGAGGGGCCAAATGAAGTATGGTGAGGCCAGCTGACTACTTGCGAGATTGTGTAGAGTTCATATTGAAAAACGATGACATCAGTACCAACCTGTAATTTTTATTAGTGTGGAAGATGGTAATTTTTAGGCATAAAGTAAGTATTTCCACAAGTGCTGTATGTCCTGTTGTGGAAGCATCGTAGTCATTTAAAGTGTGCAGAGCTTGTGAGGACACCAGCTAGCTGCCAACACGGCGAGCAGTTCTTGTTGGGCCCCCGCGCTCGGGTAGCGGGTGGCGTGGCACTGGGCCTCCCCCCCTCCCCCCTATTTCTTGGGGCTATCTACAGTCTTACGTCCTGAGGTAAACTGCTAGAAACTACCTGGAGTTGTTGTTCAGAACAGATACACATTTACGTTTCTAATTAATTTTTACAGAACAGAACCATGGATTATATTCTTACAAGGTGTTTTGGATTAAACAATACATGAAGTGCCTACTGGCACTTTCAGCGGTATTTAGTTTGTGCATTTCTCTCTCCTGTATGTATTTAATTTGCAGTATAAAAAAGCAGCCCATTATTTCTTTTTTAGCTGCTATATTCAGATACAGCTGCTGCATAGAGGACCATATGCAAACATTACAGTCACAGAGTTATTAGTGTGCCAGAAGTACCAAAGGCATGTGGCATACAGCCTGTGTTTGGGCTACATTTGTCTTCCAAGTTACAAAAGCCAAAACCAGACATCATTTGATACTTAGTGCTTAGAGCGGCACTGGAAAAAACTTGCATTAACTCCTGCAACTATTCACCGTGTATCCCCCATTTACATTTTAGAAGACTGTAAAGGAATATAAGCCTTAACTCTTAAATTAGATTACCCGAGTCAGAAGACGTAGTGATTATCTTGTTTTAGAGTTTTGCGTTTGACTCAGTCCAGTGATATGAAATGCATTCATAGCTCTAACTCTGTACAGTTTGAAGACGACATTTATTGATAATTAAAATGCTGAAAACAATTCTTTTGGGAAAGACAAAAGCTTACTCTCCTTCTGTGTTCTCAGTACTGAAGAGGGAACATTTTTCTATTTGAAATACTTTTTTTTCACCGTACATCAGCAGGTTCGCTTACCAAAGCCTATGCCAAAACCAGTTCAGCAGAAGCAAAAAAATATGGAAGGTGAAGAATACGTCTGTCAAAACAAAGCCTGTACTGGGGTAACAGACAAACAACTCCAAGATGCAGAAAAGCCAAGTCAAGTATACAGGATGCTTCACCCAGCAGAGCCTCGGCAGGTGCGGGTCGGTGCAGTTGTGCATGGTATCTCCTGGGCGTTTGTCTGCTCTGTTAGCTCAGCGTCCACCTTTTGGGGGGGGGGGGGGGGGGCAAGGAAGAATGCTTGAAAAAAGCCAGGAGCTATGTCTCAAACTCCCGAAGTTGGCGTGTGCTTACTGGCTTGTATTCTTCCAAATGTAGAACGCAGAGTTCCAGGTGTAGCCCAGGTTATAACTGGAACCAGGGCTCCGTCCTTGCCCAGTGCCCGTCTCACACCTGACAGGTCCAAGTATCGGAACGGTACCCGTGGCATGTGTGAACATTACTGAATTCTTTTCAGCGCGCAGAATTACCGTCTGTACCTCAGCGGGTTCACTTACCGAGGCCTTCACCGAAACCAGGGCGACAGAAGCAAAACCCGGCCCAAGAGGAAGCAGCCAACTGCTGCAGCAGGCCCCACGCTCGGGTAACGCGCCGGCAATTCCAGGCTGAAGAGAAGCCAGGTAGATTTCAGGAGCCTGGCCACCCACAGAAGGTGAGGGGGTTTGGGGTTACCTGCAAACAGTCACGGCACCCTGCAAAAGATCGGCTTTTCTGAAAACAAGGATTTAAAAACAAAACCCAAACCAACGAGCACCCCACACCACGGCAAAGAAAGCCTGAACTATATATATGCAAACTAAATGTTTGCCACAAACACACTTAAAAGAGTGTGTGTAGTTGCTTGGGCATGCTATTCCCAGACTAACACTCCAGTTTTTTTTATAGTTTGATAGTAAAGCCGTACACCGAGCACCGCACCAGTGTGCAGGTAGAAGGGATGGGAAAACAACCCCTCTCTGTTTGTTTTCTCAGTAGAAACTTACTTTAGTAGTTTCTGCTTCTAAGTAGTGGAAAACTTCGTAGCACTCTGATTAAAGTTCTTAAATTCTGACTTATTAATCTGAGGATTTTAGTAATTGACTAACTCACCCCAAATATTATTGGTAATTTACTGCATAAAAGGGTTGGATGAATGTATTCAGTCTTACTCTTCAATTGTACATGAAAAAAATTGATGAAAAAAATTAATCAAGGTTTTAGTAAAAGTAATGTAGAATAAACTACATTTTAGTAATCGCACTGTGCTCCTTTTCTGTGGAGTTTAAGTATATTTTAACAAAGAGATTCTAGCCTGGCTTTCTTTCATATAGAAAAATAACTTGTTAAATGAGGACGATTTCTAATAAGCACAAAAACGCAACTTTAAAGATAGCTTTATTATTAATCCCAAATTCTTTGCTTCAAGCAGTCTGCTGATCACTGCCTGGAGACTCCAGTACAAGCTAGGAGAGTGAAGCAGAAAAAGCAGAGCTGTACCCGAGAGCATCAGGCAGTAAAGTGGTGAGCAGAATAAGTTTTAGAGATGTTTTGGCTGATGGCAAGGTAGCCAGATTCTGAAAAGTCTCGGGAGTTCTGACACAACAATGACTCAAAGTAACAAATACAACTTTGTAATAGGAAGATATTCCAGTGCTACCTCCGAGTCCTCAAATGGAAAATTTAAAAGATATCAGCAAAAAAAGGTAGCAAATCTCCTCCCTCCTTTTTCTTTTGTGTAAAAGCTGCTTCCGTCCTAAGAAAGGAGTAGATAGAGAAGGCGAGCCACATTTAGGTTTCTAACATGACAGGGAAAAAAAAGAGCTGGTGTAACTTCCCCTGTTTACTTGAACAGCAAGCACCCAGTAGGCACTGCAGGTCTTGACACCAGGAAGTAACTGGGGGATTTGTTTTTCCCTCCTTTTTGTGGGAGGATGGAAAAGTATTTTTTTACAGAAAAGAGACCAATCACTGGTCTAGTATTTAGATTATATTTGTGTTTTGATTTAGTCTTTATAAAGGAAAAGCTGCTCTTCCAATGTGATTAATAACGCTGCATCTCTGTAGATTAGTTCTGAGGTAGTCCCTGAATATCATGCATAATACGGGAACAGTTAAAAAGGATGTCAGATAACATTTAAGATATTTAAAGGAGAAACTGGAGAAGGAAAAAAAAGGCAAGATTGTATTGGTTTCAGTTTGCAGCCTTCCTCTCACTTCCTTTCACGTAATCTAGGAGATTGGTAAAGGAGGGCTATATAGGAAATCTTAGAGTACTGTGGTTATGAAAATTCAGGAGGATTCTTCAGGCACAAAGCTGGGCAAACCCCCAGTGGTTCCTGCAGGAACTAGAGCGGCCAGAGGCTCTCAGAGTCCCACCTGCCTTGGCGTGGGTAAGTGCAGGTGCCTCCCCTGGACACGTCCGTGGGGTCATTAACAGATGCTGCAGTTAGCCTGAATACAGAAGACAGGAACTTTCTATTAGAGAAGTATAATTTAGGTCATGAATTTTCACCAAGAAAAAACCACTATTGCTAGGGTTGAAATTTAAGTGGGAGGTATTGCTAAAAAACAACATTGTTGTAACAGAAAGGAAACTAAAGCTGGAAGTTTTTCTACAGGACAGTGAAAAACATGGTCTTGGATATGTGAGAAACAGAATTGTAGTGTTTGGGGATTCTTTTCAGAGCTGGAGAGCAGAGCAGCAAGCTAAGGCTGACACTGCTTCTGGAGACCAAAAAAACCCCAAGCACCCCCCTGTCCACCAAGGCCAAACCCCACACTACCAGCCTATTTCTGCTATCTATGATAAAGCAGCACTTCAGCTTTGCTATGAAACACAAAAACTTGCACACATTAAAACAGCAAATCAAACTTTGGAGTAATGGTTAGGGTTTCCAGGCTAAAACTTTATTAGCAGGAACACTTTAAAGACTTGATATCTTAACATTTTGTGGAAACAAGTTAAAAATATAGAAGAATTTCAGTTGTTGACTTCAGTAATACATACAGAGCATGTCTCTTTAGAAGGTGTGTAACCATCCCTAATGTTTTACACATAATATACAAGATACTTATACCTGTAAATCCCAGAGTGGAGACTTTGTAAGAATTGTATTGCTTTCTCCAGGATAAGTTAAAGACCTATAGGGCATCTTTGTTTTTCTGCTTCATCTCACGTATTCAATATTATTTTTTTTCCTGCAGAAAGACCCTGCAAGAGAATTACCACCCTTCGACCCCCAAGCAATATTCTCAGAATCCAAAAAGCAACCCAATCAACTCTTAAGTACCGACCATCCCAGTTCATTGCAAGAAACTGGTTCTGACATTACTAGTCCCTCTCTATCTGTTCTATTCAGGCTTGCATTTACCGACGAAACATACCGCTACAGTATAGCCATACTTGTACTTCTGCTGCTAATATTACTTTCCTTGTATTTTCTTTGATGTCACTGTTTCAGTGTCTTCAATGCAAGTGCAGCGGTGTTCCCAGCGCGCAGTTTTTTCTCAAGGCTTCTTCATTGAAGATTTCAGTGTCAGTGGCTTGGAAAAGATTTTTTAAAATAATACTGTCATTACGTATCTTTTAAAGGCAAGCTCTCTTAAACTTTCCAAATCTGCACTCAATAGTTACGTATACACTACACTATTTGTACAAGGCTGTTTTGTGTTATGAAGGTTGGGATTCCTTTTGCAAACAGGACGCTTTGCTACAGCAACATTAAAAATGTATCATGAAATACAGTGGCGTGTGATATTTAATTACTCTGACACTAATCTGTTGATAACTGCTGTGTCTTTATACTGTTTCAGAAAGCCTTTAGTTAAATACTGATGCATTAAATGCATGGGAATTTAAAGTTTTCCTCTCTTTCTTCCAATGTGTGAAGGGAAGATAGCAGCCACCTATTCTGTTTCACGACGGCCCTTGTTACAGTTTTGCCTTTATCTAAGCTACCACACACTATTGAGTTCAATCACTCATTTTCATTGGATTTCCTTACCTTATTACAATACGGACATTCACCAAAGATGACATTAAAACTCTGTCTGCTAGAAGGAAGACCTTGTAGCCACTGCAACATAAGTAAGAGGATGAAAATTCACATTTGCTTTATGTCAAATTTAAGCATGATCTACTGCCAGGAGTTTTTCCAGACAAGAGTTCCTTGGATGGAGATCTGCCAGGGTGTGTGTGCAGTCAGCCTGTGTAAGCACGGGGCGAGGCAGGTTCCCCTCCCCAGGGAGCTCACGCGTGAGCCGGGCGCTAGAAGACAAGAGGAAAGCCCAGTGACCGTTGTAGCACTCCTTAAAGGATTTTGCTTCATCTCAAATTTGAGTGGGTAACGCTTGCTTTTGAGAATCTGCGAGTTAAGGAGCAAAGTTTGTCCCATTGATTACTTCACCTCGTACAGGCAGGCCTGGTGAAAGGGCTGTCCGCAGCGGGGATCATCACACACTTGATCGGGAGTAGTGCCGGCAAGGCGGTAGGCATAGCAGATTCCACAGTCCTTAGTAAAATCCTTAAAACACAAGAGGGTTTAGCTGCCAGTACAACTGAAAGGCAGAAATAGGGCTGGTAACAGAGAAAACACGTTCAGCTCTTCGTCTTTGCTTTTGCCTTTTTTGTCACTCAGAATTACCAACATCTGTGCCTTCACTGTATCTGTGTTTGCACCGACATGGCACAGAGCGCGAGACGTACAAGACTTCGCTCGGTTCTGGTTTAGCCTCTCCCAGAATTACGTCTAGTTTGACGAGCGTTTTCATACCCTTGGGCCCCACTGTTTCTTTTTTATTGAACGCAGTGATTTGTCATTCCATTTGGACATCAGACACAAGACCTCAGTCAGATATTAATTTAATAATTTCACAAGTGAAAGCGAAGCTAGTAATCCAGTGTTACAGCATTGTCAAAAATTAATTCCAAGTTTGTTTGAAATGCACCAGTATTTGGATGGCCTCTTGTCCCCTCTAAGCAGCTCTACCTAATTAGAACTTAAGTCATCAACATCCATAACAGAATGTTTGGATTTTCCACATCTCATTAGCTACTCTGGAACTTCCTCTTTCCCTTTTCGTAGCGAAGCCTGTTATTAATCGCCTTACTGCTATGAAGGCCACAGGAAAGTGTGCACCTCTAATCAAAGGTTAACAAGCTCTGACAATTGTTGCTTGAAGTTCAGAAGTCCTCATGACAATATATTAATCCAATTACCTCTCTTCTAAGTCTCTTATTTTTGCTGGCACTTATAAAGTGACCATTGAAATTTTACTTATTCAGAAATAACGACTGATGATTAACAAAAAGCAACTTACGCTTTTTTCTAACACAGCACGAGATGGAAAATCCATTTCCAAGAGGTCTTTCAAGTTTTGCAATAAACTGATTTCTGGATCCCTGCAGGTAGGAGAGAGGGAGAAAAAAGTCAACAGCAGGAATGGTCAATACTATTTTGGTTTCAAACCTATATTATTAAAGATGCTTACCATAAGTGCAAATTGTTGTTCAGCTTAATTCTCAAAGGGTTAACCACTGCAAACAATGTACAGAAATAATTACTTCATTTTTAGGATCCCCTTTGCTCCCCCACCCAATTTAACCTCTCATATTTCAGCACTGAAGAAGAAGGCAGGGGTTGGGGTTTTGAATTAATTAAGGTACCTAAGACAAAGACTGCTCTTAAGTTTTTAGTTTGGGGAATTCTTTACACTAATATTTAAATTATCATACTGCCAAAGCTATGATGGTAGTTACCTTAAAGTTGGTAAAAGGTTGTGGGACACAAAGTAAAAGACTTAAATACTTCCAAACACTATTAGGACATATATAGTTTTGTTTCGGGTTTTTGTTTTAGTTTGTTCTTTTTAAGAAAATTTTATTAAAACAGAAACCCACTTGGGTAATCATCTGTAGGACACAGGGTTCCCTCCAAACCGTGCTAGGAAAGCACTGGAAAAAAGCATCACTCACGGAGCAAACCAGCATGCTACGGGTTTAGGCTGTTACAAACCCCAGCATCTACTAGTGTGTAAAACTCCTACAAGTACTCAGCTTCATTTCTGGCTCTGCTTAAGTGAGGTTTACACCCTGGGAGTCTGACACAGCTTGCCCGAGTGGCTGCTCACCAGAGATCAGCTTCTAGAAGAGACACAAATGGTGTATGTCTGCAGCCTTACCATGATCTGCTCCGAGAAAATAACACTCGGGGAGCATGTTTGGATGCCGAGGGTCGACCTCCACGTTCACCGAGACGTTGTTCCCTACAAGGAGAAAGTAAGTCACAGGGGAAGCTTTTCTTTGCAGTCAGGTATTTGAAAATGGAAGCATTAACCTTTTTTTTTTTTTAAAAAGCAGTTTCAAATTGGTTAATTCAGGCTGGTCTTTATTACAATAAGTAATAAAGTTGGTAGGTATCCAAATTAATTGCACAAAACACCAGTATATGTTAAATATTTAAATTTCAATGGACCGTAATTAAAAATAGCAACTGATTAAAAAAACTGCCAGTCTTGCATTTCTTTTAGACTAGTCTTAACACCAAAACTTATTTCTGAATAATGAGAAATCCATTTGAAATCTTGGAGAAATTTTAAAGGTAGTAGAGACATAATTGTTATTAATTCCTCATTATCTTTTACAGTCAAAAAGAGAAGCAGAAAGACAATATTAATCCATAAGTCAGTCCCCTCCACAGCATACTCCCAGACTGAGCAAACGATAGCATGTTTTTGAGAGGGCAAATACTTTTCTTCTGCGAGATACCCCGTCATCCTCCGAGGGTCTGCTATTCATCAGGGGCAAGCAGCTCAAAAGTGTTGTGGATCCAGGTTAAAAACCTCACAGCAAATTCTCTTCTAAACAAAACCAGGTGAAAGCCAACGTTTTTTTGCAATTAAGAGGTATGTTAGGCTTCTCCTCCTTGAAGAAATTGGAATGAATGAAATCAAAGTTCAGCCCTAACTGCCGGTTGTCTGTGCCCGACAACAGAGGGCTCAGAGCCCTGCCCTGCCCTCCATTGATCTAACGTGAGGCGCTTTTTGAGGCTTTTCTTTCCTTTTCAGTGGTCTGTGTCAAAGTACAGCAGAACCAAGAGAAAGCCACCCTGACTGCACACAAGCACACACAAAAGAAAGAAGTGGTGTCCGTCCCATGTCATTTTAGCCAGTTGCTGAACTTTTTCTGTCCCTCCCTGCACCCCCCAAGGAAGCAGCAGCCTCAGCACCCCACTAGCTCCTTCCCTTCTTCGCTCTGCAGGCAATCCGTCCCGCAGGTTTCAGGGACAACCTGGGTGTATTTTGGTCCACCGTACGTTCTCAGATTTCTACAATATGCTACTGATATTTTGGATTTCAGCTAAAAATCCAAACTCTTCTTTCAAAGATAAGATTTTCACCACCACCACCCCCGCCTCCATTTCTAACCTCCACACTGGCAAGTTTCTCCTTTGCATTTACAAGACTCCTCATCCTATATATATTAAAACCTTAAAAAGCCAGACATCAGCATATGAATTAAGGTACTTTTTCAGATGGTTAACACCATAAGCCTCTAATTTCCTCTCTTCTCTTATTTCTTTGTCCTTTCCACCTGCCTCTTAACTCTCCTTTCTCCCTTTTGACTGCACTCTAATATTCCTTTCACTCTTCCAGGACAGGATCAATCTAAAGTAATAGTCTGTGAAAAAAATCTGGAATTTGTGAATGAGATAAGGGCTTCATCTAAGCTGATTTTTTACAAATACTGATTTTTCTAGAGTTATCATGCAAGTCCTCAGTTTTCGACAGTTCCGTGTTCATCATTTACAAATACACAATATTCTCCTGCAGAAACTTTCACTCCGTGTAACACCATAAAGATGTAATTAATTTCCTAAACAGGTTCAGTACTCTGTGGAAGGTTATGGTTTTTTTAATACACAAAGAGAGTTATGTCTTGCTGGTTTTAAGTGCTACCTTTCACCTTCCTAACTCCGACTGATTAAACGAGCAAAGCAGAACAGCACCCTGAGTTTTACTTCTCAAATCCACTGTATTCCTTCAAATCTTTTCATACCTATTGCAATTCTTCTTGTTGTAGCACTTCGTGTGGGATTTTCTGGCTCAAGCACCCAAGTCTTCCCATCAATTTCATCCATGGCATTCCAGAATTCTTTCAGCGATTCTAATGCTGCCAGGAACTGATTATAAATGTCTATTAAGGAGTCCTTAGGAAAGAAATTGAAACAAATTTCATATAGTTTCCACCTGTGGCCATACAGAATATTAAAAACAAACAAACAAACAAACAAAACAAAACAAAAACAAACACAAAACCACTGTAGGTCATTTAAGAAGTGTTAAGATCTAGTATGTATCTAGTTGCATCATGGTAGCATAAAACACTGAACCTCACAGGTTTTTAATGGAAACAGCACAAGTAGAGCTGTATCTTGAGTACAAATAAGTTCTCTGTTCCTGGTAGTTGTCACACGTTGTGATATACAGACATCATACCTGGATTTGGTGGTGTTTTATACCTTTTCAGAAAACATTTCTGGAAGCGGCTAACAACTATTAATTTGCATTGTAACTTGTAATGAACTACTGTAAAATTCAAGTAAAAATCATTATCTGCTATTAAACTTCTAACATTCTGATATTTAGTCTCTACTTCAGCTGAGCAACATGGCAGTGGTACCAAACACAAATACACAGAAATACGCACGTAACTAAAGTAGCTTATTTATTTTTTCAAGATTCTAAGAAATATAGCCTAACAATGTCATCATTATCTCGAAATTAAGCAATATAAAAACAGGTACTTAACATTAGATTTCAAGCCATGTAAGTACGGTAAGAGAAGGAGAAGCCATCTAATAATCAGAGGATTACACTCAAGGGATTTCAATATTTGAGAGTGGATTAGATGGAATCTGAAAAATCTTTCATTATACAGGACAATATACGGAACAGCAGTGTGAGAGGAGTATTTTTAAAATCATCAGTGAGCACAAAAGAAGTAACTGTTTCTACAGGGAAAGACTTCTTCAAGTAGAGAAAACACTCAGCAGTCAACACCCTTCCAAGTGCAGATGCTGAGGGAGTAGAAAACATTAATTTAGGGAGCCGGAGGAGGAGGAGAGAGACAAGTTCCCTTGGGAGGAATGCGCCGTGCGGGTTTTGAGCCCGATGTCAAGGTGGAATCAGTGGAGGGACAGGGAAGTGTCATGAACAGCAGGAGGAGATAAGGAGCTGTTGGACAGTGGCTGCGTGGGGAGAGATGAAGCTACACAGGAAAGAAGTGAATGTGTCGAGAAACTAGGCAAAGGGGGCACTGAAGGGAGACCAAGGGTAGGGGGATCTGGAGACAAACTCTTCCTGGTTAACTTGTTTTCTCAAATTGTTTGGTGGTGGGAAACTCATGAATAGAAAAAGAGGAATCACTTAGGAGCACCAAAAGGCGTTTTGAAATCATTTGCACAGAACACAACTGACCAACGCAATGCGTGAGTGTAAAGCATGAAGGACAGAACTGAGGGGACTTCAATTCAGATAAAGGAACCCCCAAATAGTTAGCAAAAATACTTCAGGTATCTTTTGGCCTAGGCACAAGTTACTGGGGTCAAAAAGAAAAAGCAGACTGAGTGTTCAGTTCTTAAAGAGGTGCTTTTCTATAAATAACACAAAATATACATTGAATGGTTTCCTTCAATCTTTAATAATTATGTTCTTCCTTTCTCACCTGGAAAAAAGGCAAATTATATGAACATTGTCAGATGAGGAAATATCATTTTGATATGTAATAAATTTTTATATTTTATGCATACATATTTTAGAAAGAAACGGGTACCTTAGAAATAAAATGCTACATTTTTTCCTGTTATTAGATTATATTAAAGTAGGAAAGCACTTAAGCAGAAAAGTGTGAATACTGCCAATCTCCAAATGTAACGCTTATTATCTTTAAAAGCATTTTGTTACTTTTATAATACCTGACGTGATATAATAGTGTCAGTCACTTAACCACATCTTAGAGTATAATATCTTCATCTTAAGTACTATTATTTCCAGTATTTTAATAATTTTCACACAGTCCTGAAATGTGATCTTTTGTGCTCTGATGACACTTAAATTAATAGCATAATTTTCTGGTACTTGCAACAGTTGCTTTCCATTTTGATTTTTTACATTTTTCTACATCACATACAGATAAATCCTCTAATAATCATTTTTATCTTTATCTTCCGGGAATTCAAAGGGTTTCACTAGAAAAAAGAAACATCAAGGGATTATAACCCACAGATAAGTTTTAAAATCCAATTAATTTTAATACTAATTGTAATTTTTCAATGATGTTCCTTAAAAAGGTAGTTAAATCTTTTTTTTTAAATGCACTGTTCGTTTGATCTTATTTGCATGCTTCATTGATGTTGCCAGCTGTCTACTGCCTATGTACATAAATGCATCTATAGCTATTTAAATACATCACATGCTTCTCGTGCAAACCATGAAAACTGTAACATTCCTTTTTATTTCATTAACCAAGTAATTTTTGGTCATTGTCCAACACTTTTAGAAAAGACTGGTATCGTGCTTTTTTTTGGCCTATGCTACGCCAAGATAGTCAGTAATGAAGTCAAATAGCACAAACTATTTGCTTCTTGGTCACCTTTCTACAGGTGCATTGGAATTTGTATGAAATATGTCTAATGTTCTTTGACAAATAAGACAGTCATAATTCGGGATAGCATCACTGGCTGCCCTGACTCTAAAAAGCACTAACAAAACCAAACCGGTTACTCCATCCTCTGTATCTGTTAGGTTTCCATGCTTGTCAGGCAAAACATCCATTAGAAAAATAAAGAACATTGTGGCAGTTCAATCATTTACAACTAAAATTAAGATCATTTTAACGTAGAGTGTAAACCTTGCGTTTTATTGCTAGCTCCTGAGGATACCGACATCAGCTGTGCAGACGGCAGTAGTGAGGGTAGGGTCCAAGCTGAAACACCGCGCGTGATTCTGACCAGACCTTTCCAAGCAAACCAACCAACCACGGCTGGGACAGAGAGGCTTCCGAGAGGAGGAATGGAGAGTCTGCCACTGGACAAGGTTAAAACCGTTTTACTGGTTTAGACCAGCAAAACAGCGCAAGAGACGTGACTCTTACCTCTTGCCTACACTACGGTAGCTGTATGAGATACCTAGAGCTAGGGGTACCCACCCGATGCTGGGCTGCATCAACGAAGGCATCACCAGCAGAGATAAAGGAGTCATCATCTCGCTCTGCGCAGCACTTGTCAGGCCACACCTGGAATACTGTACTCAGCTTTGGTCCCTGCTATGCAAAAAAAGCTGTGGACTGGCTGGAGAGGGTCCAGAGAAGGCCCACAAAGTTGATCAAGGGACTGGACAGCCTGCCCTGTGAGGAAAGGCTGAGAGAACTGGGTTTGTTCAGCCTTGAGAAGACTCAAGGGAGACTTTGTCACCATATTCCAGTATTTGAAGGGCGGCTACAAAGCAGCTGGAGATTCCCTTTTTACAAGGTGTCACTTGAAAAAGACGAGGGGTGATGGGTACAAGTTAATCCTGGGGAGATTCTGATCGGACACAAGAGGAAAATTTTTCACAATGAGAACAATCAGCCACTGGACTCATCTCCCCAGGGAAGTGGTGGCTTCCCCAGCACTGGACACTTTTAAGATTCAGCTGGACGGGGTGCTGGGCCATCTTGTCTAGAGCGTGCTTTTGCCAAGGTTGGGCCAGATGATCCTTGAGGTCCCTTCCAACCTGCTATTCTGTGATCTGAAGGACCCAGCAAATGTAAATTCATACAAAGTGAGCAGCTGGAGCTGCCTTCCTCTCCCGTTAGAGCACGGAGGTCCTGAGAGCCTTACAGTCCTAGGACACCTCATTACTTCCAAGTGGGAGCTCGGTAAGTTTTTGACAGCACTATAATGCATGATTTAATGCTCCTGTTCCCTTCAGCTCTCTCTAATGACCATCACAGCAACAGAGCAGCCCCAAAATATTGTTGAGTTTATAACCAAAATGCATTTTCAGATTAGATGGCCTTGTTCTGAGTTTTGATGGAAAAATAAGAGACTGAGAAAATATTAGTTTGGAATACTCAGCTTGAGATCCCTTCATCTGGCATTAAGAGGACTGTTTTTGTTAGAGCATCACCTCCCGTGACCACAGTCATCGCTTTAAACACTCAACACTTCTCCAGATTTTTCAAATTTCAGGTTGTGAGCATAGAAAACAAAGAATACAATTAGTGACGACTTGTGAAAAGGCGCTGTAAGTGACTCTCAGCACAGACCGTTTTCTCTCTCAACAAAGCATACATTCAGCCTCAAAGCCCCAGTTATTCAAGGCAAAAATCTGATATATACTGATACAAGCTATACCAAGACAGTTCTCTGGACTGAACAGCAATTTAATGTTAATTTGGAGGGCCATGATCTTCTGAAAACAGGTGTTTGTCGAGAGTGGGGGTTTTGGTTATTTTACAGGAAAATAGAGATGTGAACATATCAACTTTTGATAACTCCCCAGCAGTTTTAGAAAACTTTGACCCAAAGGTTACCTTTGTGCTATCAGACTACACGTATCCTCCATTCATTTCAACAACTGGTAGGAGATGAAGCACTTAGTTTGGTCAGTGGAAATCAGATATTCTGGAGCCATCAGTTTCTGAGGGGAATGTACACCTTCCCTTCTACTGGGAGAGTTTTGTGCAGTTTTGCAACATTTTTGTTTCCCTTTCTGTCCTCTGCACTCTCATCTCCATCTCATCACTGGTAGCTCCTCATGCCAATTCTTTCCTCTTTCACTTTATTCCAATTCACCCACTTTCCCAAGTTTACACTCTTTTCTTCAATTAAAGGAATAAGAAGGAATGGAAAAAAAACCTCACTCTACTCTTCATTCTTATTTTCAGCGCCATAGAGGCTGGGAATAATAAAGAGGAAGTCTTGAGTCTGCGCCTGCCATAAAACCCATGAAGCCTTTCAGTAACATTTAAGAAGTGCTATATGTCTGTCTGGCTATTCTGCCAAATTTCAAACACCTGCTCCAAATAGTGGATGAACTATATACTATTCAAATGGTAGCAAGAATGTTCTAAGTAAGGTAGATACAGTACAATTTATTAAAATTTCTTTTTAAAAGAAGAGAAAAATGTGATCTTTTTTTTCCTGAGATTTTTTGGCTAAAATTCTTCCTAACACAAAATTTGTTTATCAAAAATTTAAAATTGCAAATCCTCCTAAAAGGTAAAGTAGCCTAAACTATAGGTGCTGTTACTTGTTTGCCATTCATGAATTCACAGATAAAATACAGTTTAATAAGGTGAACAGTTGTTGGCTGGAAAAGGGATCACCTGTATCACCCCAGTAATTTCTGATTCTTTAGATTTGTTGAGAAACTGCTTATTTCTCACAAACAGTAGTTTAACAATTTTCCCTCTCCTTAGCACAAATCAAACTGAGACACAACACTGAAATCTTTGTAAAGTGTCTTGTCAACCATCTCCATTTTTTTGTATTTACAGATGCATATAAAGCTGGTGTCTGTGAAGCTTCTTTGCTAAGAAAAAGCACGACTGTGATGCATTTTACTGTGTTTTCATCAAAATAACTGAAGAATAATCTCATTTGTACCACTATACTGTTTGAATCTTGTATTACTGTTTCGTTGTTGGCTGGCTGCATGACCTCATTAGTCATTAATTTCCACTCTCACGACCTTCATGTAGCCAACCAGGTGGGCAGTGGTCAGTATAGAAATAATACCCTGATGGGAGGGCAGCAGGATACAGATGCACTGAAACTGCAGAACCGTGTTTACCATGTATGCTAAAATGTGGAGACAGCACATTTATCTGGTTATTTAGAGAAAGAATATAACTGAAATAAGTAGATGTTCTTGCACTTGTCATTGAGAAGCACTCTGCATTTATTTGGCACTTACAACAGTAGCAGCAGCAGCAGCATTGCCCTTGGTGCTGATTTCTTACTACTCTAAAATGTCTCCTCTGAGCCAGAATACACTGGCTGTTGCTGATCATGCTGTGAGACACCTGCACTGGCTACTAGGCTTGTCATGACGCACAAAACCCTACCATCTTCAGCTTGACATTGTGCAAGTTATAATTATTCATCCAAATGAATATGTCAGAGCAGCAGCAGCAGACCTCTCATCAGAGCAAAAGAAAAATACATCAAAACATTATCAACCCAGCAGGAAGACAGGGACCATAAGGAAAATTACCCATTTTTAATATGGATGCCATAAAGCCATGTCTATTATTATACGGAGGCAGGGGAAAAAAAAAAAAAAAAAAAAAAAAAAAGAACTAAAAAACAACCACCCAACAACCCCTCAAGTTTAAAGTCCATGAGCACTGAAAAGAACTTGAAATAGCCAACAGCACACACGGGGGGGTGGGGGGGGAAAAAAAAAAAAAAAAAAAAAATCAATTACCTGAGATCTATTTCTATTTTCTTTCACAGAACTTTATATTCTAGTAGTGCAATTGCACATTTTTAGTTAAGCCTTGTCAGTTTTTACATTGAAGATGAACAGTAAATATTAAAATTTAAGACCTATCAGTATCAAAACTTCATGTTATTTTACTCGAAAACAGGGATAGCATCTTCCTTTCCCCTTTTAGGAACCAAAATTTTCAACCACTTGAAGACCTGCTAAATTCTGCTGCCAGTGGTGTTTCAGCATTATCTAACCTTAACCCTTATTCTACCATGGCATGAAGACTGCTCACTGCAGTGATTTCCATGCATTTTGAAAATAAACACAATTTACACAATTACTACACTCATTTTTTCCCAGAAGCATTAGGTTCCTGTCACCCACACAGATAAGGTCAATTTTCACAAAAGACTGTACGGCTACCACAGTTGTACCGGCACGATGCCCAGGCTGCTGGTATTCGGTGCAGTGTTGTAACAGGCTATCTGCAGCTAGGGTTAGCATCTCGTGATTTCAAAACAGGGTCTTCGGTTACGTACAAACATCTATTGTTTACGTTTTCAAATAGTCCATTGGTAATTCTAACTGTAAAAAGATCTTGACGTCTCAAGCATGAGAATATCCTATTTTTAACATTAGATTTTTACTTAGTTTTAGTGTCAATATTTATATAGTCGCTCCCATTTTTCACTTGTCAAAGGAAGCTGCTTCATATCATGGTTTTCAAGAACATTTTATTAAAACGTAAGTCCAGCTAGTAGCTTTAAAATTACTAACAGTAGACACAGAGAAGCAATGACTGTCAAGGAAATTTGAAATGCTGTTAATTTGGGGTAACATAAATTGCAGAGCTGTAAACTTTATACATACTTTTAATAGTATTTTATTAAGTTTGAGATTAGGAACAGTACTTGAAATCCTGCCTGTAGTATATGGAACCCAGTATGATTTAGGGGAAAAACAGTATCTGTTTAAATTGTTCCAAACCATACCAGAGAATCAAAATCTAAAATTACATATGAAACTAAATATATTTTTCATTTGCAGTACTCCATTCTTGCAGTTATTTCATCAGGCTCTCATATTAGAGGGTCTGAGGTGACACACAAAACCTTGAGCTTTGCAGTCAAAATTATATGTCCGTCTTAAACTCATTGTGATGCAACCTTTCAGCCCTGCTCCCTATGCAAATTTAGTACCATAAAGACAGGCTTTACTGATGGCTAGAAATCCTCGCGAGAGTTAGAGTTATGAAATGCAATCATTTATGTAAAATCTATTTTCCTGAATTAAATGAAATTAAACATCAACTATTTTCTAGAGATAATTCAAATTAACTTTCATCTAAGTGGTCACATTTAAATCCATTTAATCAAGTACACACGCTCTATTAAGGAAAAAAGATACATGAACTAATGCAAGAGAGACTAAAAAAAGATAATGGCTCTTGGTTCTTTATATTAACAATATCAGTTAAACTATAAAATCAGAATACTATGAAGTATTTTCCTGTTGTTATTTTGATTGTAACTGAAAAAGTTTTATTATTTTATGAAAACTGGATAGGATAACAAACTAGGGGACCGCCTTTTTTAATGTCAGCTTTAGAGAGCGCTTCTTTTCTAGAAGACAATCATTTCTCATGCATATATTTTCCCAATATCATTCCTATAGATATTTCTGCCATATGAACAGTGTAAGAAAAAAACAGCCAGTATGAGTACAAAGCATACAACATGCAAGGTACAGCTACACGGCAAGGAAAATACTTAAAACCTATCATAAGGAATACGGAGTTCAGTATTATTACATTTACATAAACATGTATAAAAGTAAAATACAGACAGGGAAAAAAGCTGGAGTTAAAAAATAAAGTCCAACCCCTCATTACTACCTCCATATTGCACATGTATCTCAGTTATTAAAAAAAGATGCATAGTACAGCTGTTTACCTGTGGCATCCAAGAAACAGCAAACTGAACAGGAAAATCCACAAGGCAATCCGGTGGTTCTGTTGGATACTGAGGGAGGGAAAGAAAATACAGTTTTTCTTTTCTTCTTTTTTTTTTTTTTTTTTTTTTTAAAGCGATTTAAAGTCAGACTGATACTCAGCTGCCAAAATTGATAATGAAATATAAGCACTTCAAGCATCTTGAGAACTTGGCTCTTAGAGGAAACAGTATGTAAAGCATTTTCAGAAATAGTTATGAATGTTAATTATCATTTAAAGAAAAAAATCTACATGTAAATCTACATGTATTTTTACATATCAGGTTTTAGTAAAGGCAGGAGAATCACAGTTTTCTGTATTCAGTGTTCACAAAGACACATTAAAAAGGAACTTAAGACAAAAACCATCAAATACCTTAAAATAATTTCTCCTCAATTACCTGTCCTGGATAGGAAAGTTAAAAAAAACAAAAACAAAAAACAACCCAAACCACCCTCTCACAGGTCAAGAACTAGTCTTCATTTAAACTAGAATATCTGGTCTGATTGGCAGCATTTTTTGTTTTGAAACTGAAAGCAGTCAGAGTAAGTACGTAACTATTTAGAAAGAGATTAATAAACATACGCCCAAAATTAAAACAACTCCCTGCTTCCCACCCCAAATTAAAAGGTATCAATGAGGAAAAGAAAAAAAATAGCTTTATTAAGAAACTGAAGCTGTAAAAGGTTGGATAAATCCAAAAATAGCCACTGAATATTCATTGCACTAGTAAATCCATTGCTGTTCAGCATCCGATATGAAATCTGTGGAAAAACCCCTGGTGTTCTCTGAAAAATACTGTAGCAAAGAAATACAAATAAACTGTGTCCTTTCTAAGAGCACCTATCCAAAATTTTATTCACCTGAGAAGTTGCCTCCTTTAACCCTATGCAACCTTTCAAATTCTACCAATGACGTACACTGCAATTTTACAGAAATTGTACTAGGATTCCATCAACTGCCAACACAAGAAAATGTTACAGGGAACGTTATTTGGGGAGACATATGTAAAAAAGTCCCAGCTTCCTCACAGAATTAGTCAAGACAAAGAGGTGAAGTCTTGCTGTGTTGCTTCTCACAACCATTCTCCATCCAAAGTAAACCTCTAGACATAGACACCATCCTTATTTATCAGACATCTGGCAACCAATTTATCAGAATTTTTAAGATGTGTCTTTATTTTATGTAAAATGTCTAATTATACAGTAGTTAGTTTCAAATTGTTCTCTATGGGAAAGAGCAGAAAAGAGACATAGCTTCCCTAGAGCATCTATTATTATTAAAATCAAAGCAATGAAGAATCTAGTGAATTTACAGATTTCACAGAAATTTGTTTGAACTTGCTTTTCAATTTGCCTTCCTTTCTGGTTTCTGTTAGGTATTGCCTTTCTGAAAACAACTCCCACAACTGGAATATCTTGTGCTTTACCATTTTATCAAATTGGCAGCAGACAAGTTAAATAACTGTGACAGAGCAAGAGAAGCAAAACAACTGATTTGGACAGGAGGTGGTTACAACTTAGGAACGTATATCCACAAAAGCTGTTACCGTTTCTTTTCTGGTAGCGTTATTGTTCTTGTATTATAGGCATTGTAGTGTTAGTGGTTTTGTATCGTAGGTATTATTTTTCATGAAATACTTCAAGGCTTGCATAGAAATAAACTCATTTTCAGTGTATAAAAGTATGCCTAGAACAAACTAAGAACAATTTTTCCGTAGGACTGATTTTAGGACTAACTCATTTAAATCCCAGCAGCACTAGCCAATTATGTGTTCACTTTCTTGGTAAGTAAATTCATTTTATGCAGTCTTTTGTAGGGTGTCTTCGAACAAGTGCTTGCAAACAGATTCTACTAACTTTATATTACTTAAAAAAAAAAAAAAAACAAAAACAAAAACCTACAGCACTTTTCCCCTGCATTTTTAGTCAACTTTTCTTTAAGAGCACAATATTGTACCATGCAACACATAAGTGCCAAGAACTATGCAACAATCATTCTGTATATACGTACATAATGTTTTTAGACCTTGCAGAGTGAAATCCTGTATAAAACAAGGTGAGTGATCCCCAGGAGACAGTATTTTAAAGTACTATACCAGAGCATATCAACGACATCATATGCTATTACAGTTACATTCAAATGTATATGTCAGAAATCATCCTATTATTCTTCAGAAAAATTTAAGCAATTATTAAACAAAATATTTATATTGTATTTTTGAGCATGCAGCTAAATTTATGTAGGAAAAGTATTTTCATAACCCTTGCCAAATCATTCAGATAATTACCAAACCATCTTGATTGCTACGTGGCATGCAAATTCTTGCAGTGGCCCATCTGAATTCTTGGGATTTGAAATGGCAAGCACCCAATCCACTTCTCATGCAATACAAAATAATATCTGATAAATAAAACCCAATGTATTTGGTTTCATGCTTGCAAAGATACATGCTTTGTTTCCAGAAAACTTTTAAAGTCATTTAAATCATAGATAAATAAAGCTTTCTGGACCAGATGTTTTCAACCAAATAAATTGGAAAACTATTTCACAAACTCAATCTAAGCATTAAACAATATATCCTCTATGAGGCTTAAGCCTAAACATTTACAAAGGTCAAAATTGTGTAGCACATAATTTGGTTAACATATCTATGATATGACCATTCTCAATAGTTGCAGGTTGAAATCGATCACCCCAAGATTCCTAGACACCTTACAAGTACAGTATATAGAGAGCAAATGTTTTGAAAGGACAGCTCATAAAACAAAGAATATTAAGACAAGGATAGCAGGTAGAAACATCTGACAAAGCATTAAGGAAAAGTCCTCAAAACACATCCAGACCACTCAGAATGGCAGCAAAGGACTGTGTAGGGGATAATCTCAATACACATGATAACCTTATGAAAAAGAATTTCCTAAATCACTGATTGAAGAGTTTCTTCCTGAAAACCTCGTCAGCAGGCTTATAAACTCATTTCACTGTATGGCATCCACGAGGACGAGGCTGAACAAACCCATCTGCCAGAATACAGACAAGAGCCAGCAATATATGCTGAAGAGGTTTAGCTCACATACTAACCTTAATCAAAGAAACAGCATAACAAAAATAAGTATACTTTTATTAAAGCAGCTTATCAAAAGAAATCCCTTCAAAAAATACTTCGGCAAAGTCTTTCCAAGTGTATTAGGTATGTATATGAGGGCTAATCAAATCCCCATGTTGCCAAAACCATGTTTCACATATAGATTTTCTCTTGTGGCAAGTTTAAATGCCAGACATGGTTTAAAAAGGACAAGCAATTGATCCTTCATTGTAACAATCACTTGAAGTAAAAAAATAAAAAATATAAAAAATTGATGATTACTTGTTACAACAGACAAGTTGGATAATCTAGTCTCTTTATTACACTCTATCCTTAGTTGTTAGACAGTGCTTTCTTCTGCTACTAGGAGTCTCAACCTCAGATATTTTATTACTATAAAGAAAATACACAAGTTTTAACAAAAACAGAAAACAGGAACCTTGACTGCTCTTACAGTACAGTGTTAAGTTAAGGCTAAACAGAACCAGCCAATACATGAGTGTAATAGTGTTTGACCATGGCAGCTGCTTGGTAAAAATAGGTATTATACTGGGGGGTTTTTTTGCACTTTTATACTTCCAAATAGTTAAAATACGACAGTTGCCATAAAACTAAGCAAAAACTTAAGGGCAATAGGCTGCACTTAATTTCTAGTGTCATGCTAAGTATGGGATAGCAGCTCCCTTATAAACAATGCCACTAGAGTCTGGTTACTCCCCTCGCACACTCAATAAACCATAATCATACTTCCCAGTACATTTTTTTCCATCAATATATTTAATAATGGAGTAACTACCAAATTAATCATACATTCATTATTCTGTGTGTGTAGGATAGTTTTACTCTTTATTTAAGATCTACTTTAGCAACCTCAATTCCCAAACAGTACTCTCTCCACAGGCTCCTTTTTCCCATCTAAGGGAAAATGAGTTTGTCTTAATGTAAAACTAAAAATTCCTGCTATTTAAAAGAATATAGGATGTCTGTGAGGGTGACATTTAGTCTGACAATACCATGTCCATTCCTCATCCCTTCAAGATTATTAGTCCAGATGGTGGACCGAGGATAGTCCCAAACAACAATGTTTAGACACTTTTGGATCCACTTTTTCCCCCTAGACTGGTTTTCTGAAAACACCTATTACCATACAATTGTCACCATACAGCCTGCATATTCATCGTTTCCTATAAGAGATTTATGCCCTGAAATGAGAAATTCTATGAAGAAACATTGCAATTTGAGTTTAGTTCTAAGTAGCAGGAGGAATTAAAATTTTTCTGCTTCCACACACCACATGGATTTGCTTTGCAGGCACTGTGAAAATCAGACAATTATTTAGACTAAAAAGAAACAAGTTTTTCAACATAAGGAACTCACTTCTATAGTCGGTTTTTCATAAATCTTTATAGCTTTAACAGTACGACTTGCTAAAGAAGTAACCCAACATCCCCTAATTCTTGTTAGACACGTAGTCTCTGGATGGAGCGATAATGAATGAAAGTCTCCCAGATGACTTTGTTGGTAATCCAGTAAAATAATTGCAATATCATACAGTGTTTTTCACGTGATGCACCGTTTCCTATGAAAAGATTCTTACAGGTAACCATAATGCTGTATGAATTTTAAACATAAAGTCTGAAAACGCTACTTTGTATTAAAAACCATCTCACCCCCACCGCCATTATCTTGCAGAACAGACATACTAACAAACCAACTCTCTACAAAGCTTATGAATTAAGAAAACCCCATTTACTTCCAGGAAGCTTTAAAATATTTTCTCCCACATAAATTCACCTTTGCATTAAACTTCAGAGTGATGAGATGCTGTCGACCGCAAGAGTCTTCAGCTTTTAGCTTGATTGTGGCAAGGCCAGTATCCACATACGCGACTCTGAAAGAGAAATGAAACCTCTTAACGGCAGTATAAGAAGTACAGTTTGCAAAGTCTGCAATACTCTTATTAGTCTGTTACAAATATTAATCAGAGGAAGTCCTATATGCTAACCATTTCTGCTGTTCTAGATTTACTGCTGTTAATACACCAGTCTACTGCTTAATGCAGTCATATATCTTTGGGTTATTTACAATGTGTGTCAAGGCTCATGCTGTGGTCAGTGAGCACTGTGTTTCAGTTTTCCATCACTGGAACCTTTGACACACACAGCATGTTCCTGTCAGCCTCTACTTATGTACACATTAAACTTCCTGTCAAATCTTTGATCCATTTCTGCAGTTTCTTACCGTATGAGACTTTTATGCTCTTGATTTGCTTTTCTCTTCAATGAAGTTCTCTTTTATTATCAATACTATTATTGTGGAAAATTCAGTGGATATTGGTTCATATTCTGAAATTGATTTTCTGCAGAAAATAGTACCCAAACAGGTACAAAATGAGTTATTTATGATGATTTGTCTTCGTTTCATGGCAGTTTTACACAGCATACGTGCACCCAAGCAAGTAGCAAGTACATACTAAATGTAAATAAGTTTTAAAACTTCTGACATAATCACTGGCTCTTTTCTTAAGATGTCACTGATTTGTGCTTCCCACAACAATGAAGATGAATACAATTGTAAAATACATTGTTCTCTAGAAATACGTTCTGCTGAGTAGCTTTAACAACTGCCAAAAAGGTTCAGACTTCTCCATATATTTGCCAGACAACTGGGCATGTGAATATTTTGGCATTTTTACTATGTCATTCTTGGGTAAAGATAAAAAGCAGTCCAAGATTACGGTACAACTTATCACCTAGATTGATGGAAAGGCCTATCAGCGTTCAAAGAAAGCATCTGCTTGCTGGCCTACGTAACATTATTTTTTTAAAACCATTACATACTAGCTCAGTCACTTGAGACAGCATGCTTGGAAACATGGTTCTTTCAAGGGAAAACTGGGAACAGAATTGCAGAAGCCCCTACAAGAAAAAGTAGACATACACCAAAGTGTGTGTACATTCCTAGGAAGGAAGTGACAAGAAAATGATCTACATAAGTGACATAGCCTCAATACGAGGGAACTGGAAAATACAGATGGAAAAGGCAATAGGGATAGTAAGAAGGGAAAGAGATACATTATTTCATGTTTAATGCTGATTAATGCAATATTAAATAGTCCTAAAGATTCCTGAGAGTATTCTGACACTCCTTTTTTCCACAACAGTTGAAAGAAATACAATTCTTGATAGAAGTGTAACTCAGCTGTAGTCAATTAAACTCAATTTATTTAGAAAGAATTGGAGCAGTCTTCCTCTAATTGGAAAAAAATCATTACTCCTGCGTTCTTTCAACTTCACCTCAAAATTATATCAGAAAGTTTTATAAAGATAAGAAACTACGTATACCCCACCTCTCCATCTACTGTTGCCTTCAGTAAGGAAAACCTAAACCAGCAGCTAAAGCACAGAATGGTTACTGCAATAAAATATATCACAGTGACCAAAACAAAGCACAACTGGTGCCTGCATCAATACACTGTGAGGTTAGATAGCAAAAGAGAATGGAAATATTAAAGAGATGCTGTTGAGGTGTTTACGATTTAAAATTATCTGTTCTGACAGTCATCTTGTTTGGACGACTCCAGTCTTGAGGTGCCAGAAAAGTATGGATTATTTTAGTTTTAAATCAAGCATTTTTGTAGTTCCTTACTCTATATTGTGTGGGAGGGAACAAGGTTAAAAAATTATTTTTATTCCTTAGATAGCAATGGACATACGTATCTTAAAATCTACTTCTGAAATCCTAAAGGGTTCGTGCGTTTACAATTAGTTTAACAACCAGACAGCCTCTAAAATAAACATATGTACATGTATGTGTCTATTTATATATTTAAAATATAAATATAAGCACACCATCATATTAAAAATACAGTGACAATATGATTGCGTTCAATCATATTTATAAAGAACCTTCACATTCAGTTTTATTGACAGTGTAAATTAGACACTTTTTTTTAAAAAAAAGTAAGCATTTGGAATAGGTGCTAAGAGCACAAATAATGGCTGTTTAATTATGTATAGAGGGATACATCATAAAATTATTTTCACGTTCTGTCTGTTACAATTTTTAACATGTTTTAGAATTCATATTTAAAGTATCCTTTAAAACCAGTTTCAAATGCTATTTTCACTGAGCTTGGAGATAACAGAAAAAAAAAAAAAAAAAGCAGATCATCACTGCTATGAAGCACCACTACAGTCCAGACTAATCTGGAAATTCTTAGGACTTTAATTTTAACTTCAACAGCTAACTGCTAGTAGAAGACAACTATTCAAGCTAAGCAACATACCACCTTTTAAGTATTATTAATTACAAACCATGTACTTAAAGGTTTTCTAATAAAACATTCTCTTCCCTTCCAAACTTTTTCACAAACAGAAACACCGAGGAATAAAAACCTCCTTAAACAAGGGGCATAGAAGGTTGAAGAATGCCCAGAATGAAAATTCACAGCTAGCCTTCCTTCTTCTCAACAGAATGTAAAAGCAATAAACTGCCTCTGGAAAATGTAGGAGGATTCAATTTTCCATTTAAGATGGAAAAAAGGAACTCAGTAGCTTTGCAGCTACCCATTCTGTAACATCTCTCTACCAATCTTTGGATAAGAAGAGATGAAAGGGTCAGTTCCATAAGACTGGAGAAAGTTGGACAACACTGTAAAAGTCATACGAACTTCATATGATTGTATAATTAAATAAGAAACTGTTTGCATAGCTTATATTTCATCTATATAAACCTTTATTCCCCTGTAGGCTCCATCATTTTCTCACACGGAAAAAAATGGAATGACCATAAAGATGGAAAGCCTCCATTAAATCCCTGAAGTACTGTAATTCAGCATAACACACAAATGATTGAGAGCACACGACAAGGCAGGATTCCCTTGGAAATGGAGAAGGCAAGAGAAGATACTTTCTACGAAAACCCTGGCAAATACCAAGCAGAAACACACTGAGACCTGAGACAAGTGGGATCATGACTCAAACCATGGACTTAGATACTGGTAACCTTTGTGAATCCACATGAGGGTGATAAGAGTCCTACAAATGTTTTATAGTTGATAATTTACCTTCCGAAGACATTGTCATTGAATCAACCAGCGAGATTATGAAATTGTATTAGAAGAGCCTTTCCTAGAGCTTAATACTACTATGTGCGTACTCTCTCCCACCTCAGCTGAGTAGGTCTGTGCTAGTATTTTTCCATCTCCTTAAAATGAAGTATCCTCCTTTGATCTCCTCAGCTGTTAGGACAGCGCTTAGTGGTAGAAATTTGGTACAATTTTACAACCTGTTGAACTGTGACTTTTGTGTACAAGTATATGAAAATGAAAGCATATTCAGCCTCCCCCACACTAAATTAGGTCAAAAAAAATATCAAGTTTTCTGTATCACAGAGAAAGTGATTATATCCAATCACAGCAGCCTACCCATTTGCAATCTTCATTACCGTTTGTACTTTCTGTGGTTTAGGAGGAAAGAGGTGCAAGATCATTGCAGATAATGTCTTCAATTTGTTTCTGAGAAACTTCTCATATTCTTTAGATGAAAGCCATTAGAAGACACTAAATTTGTGCCATACCTGAGAGCTCCATAACTCACTTCAGATATGAAGGAACCATAGCTTATTGCTTTGATTCTGCTTCAAATGAAGTAGCCTGCGGTTTTTCAGTTGGATTTAGATGCAGTCAGCTTCCAGCATGACCTAAAACCTCACTGGGAAACACTAAATCTAGGGTCCACAACAAGCCAGATCTTTTCTAAGAAAACTCATGATAACGCAAGCTGGAGGCTTCTGAAGATGTGAGCAGAGATTGAGCCTTACTGCCAGTACAAAACGCAGGCTTAGGTTTGTGCTGAAAGACCATACCAGGATGTGTTTAACCTACACACAAATACATATCACCTGCAACTCAAAAATAGTCTGGATTAAGAGGCCTTCTTAGTAATTCATCATACTGATAAAAGCACACTAAAATTAGAGGTGTAACTTACTAATGTACTTCAAATCGCCTCTCTAGGTTATTCTCTTTCCAACTCATAGTAAACCAGATATAATCCTCTATGTACAGCCCACCCCCCTGATTAAAGACTGACTTCCCCAATCAAAAAACCCAATCAAATCAAGACTTTACCTGTAACACAAGTCAATCAAGCAATGTATGGTTACTGAATTACATGACTACACTGGACAAAAGCACAGTACAAGTTGTGTGTCTATGTGAAGACCATCTTTGACTAGAAACCAGGTCAAATTCTGCCCTAGAATCATGCTCTCTGATAAAACACTGATGTGCTTTTTAATAATAAAGCTCTGGATGTTTTGTATGTGCAGCAAGTCAGAAGAAATATCAGTTTTGAGATAAGCTACTAAATTGTATTTTCAAAGTGTGTTTGTGTATATTTAGATATATACTATACTTATTAATAAAAAATACATTTTAGATATTTATGCCTAAATACATTATTAATATATTTATAAAATGCATTAATAAATATTAATATATTTTACGTATTTATATCTTTAAAGTATATTTATTGTATGTCAGCGTCTCTTTTGCTGGCATGGGCTTTTTGAAGGTGGGGTGTTCGGCTTATTTTTTTTTTCCCCATTTTGGGAGAGCAGGCATGATTCAAAATTTATTTCCCACGTGTTTAGGAAATTTTAATTAATATCCTCAGACCCTAGTTTGAGAAATTTGAATAGAATATGTCATCAGCTGGCACAACTACATACTTAATAATGAAAGTAACTGAGAAAACTTCAGCTGATGTAACAAGGATGTTTTAAATCTTTAAATAAAAGTCGCCTTGAAAGCAAATCCCTACTTAATTTTAATCACGTTCGTTATTTATTTATATACAAATCAGGTGAGGAAACTGGAAACTATTCTTAAACACAAGGCTTCTTTACTTCATTTAGCAAAATAAACACTTGTTAAAAGCTATATTACCATCTAAGACTACGGTGAAAGTAGATTTGTCTTCTTGTAAACTGCAAATGTAGACTTTTTTTGAACTTCCATTTTACTGAAACTAAAAAGCAGCTTTTCATTCAAAACTCTTCAACGTCCTACACAATCTTGCATTTTAACCCCTTGAAAGAAGGCACCGTGAGATTAATTATATAGTATTAGTTAAGGACAGCCTTAAAATGTATTTCCTTAATGCCTCCCTACACAGAAACAACTACTTTCTTCAAGCCCATAGAGGTCTCCTGGAGGTTCTAGGGGAAAGGATAGAAACCAGCTCTCTGCTGGAGGAGTAAAAGACTCAGAGAACCTGGCACACGTGATGGCAGTTACAGCCTTCCAAGTAAAAGTCTGCAAAACAGGAAGGTTTGCAGATTTCTGAAAAATATCCACATGGACCTCGAATACTTGATCACAACTGTGTGTTCCTTCAGGTTTCTATAGGAGGTATGAGGAGAACCACCTTGTTTTCCTCTGTAGTAGGATGAAATTAAGTTTGTTCTCTGAGCTCACCTGAGAGTATATGGGACTGTGAATAACAATCTCTTTGCACTCATTCAAGACCCTAATGAGAAGGCACCCAGAGGCAGCTATGTGTACATTTCATTCCTCAGCAAAGCCAAATATCCTTTGCTAATGTGACATTCTTTCCCACGGTATTACACCAACCACTTTAGTTGGGGTGAAAAGATTCATTTATAGTTCTCCTTTCCCCAGAAAACAACCTGAACTGTCACTTTTTGTTCCACACTCAATTTACAGCATATCCGTGAAACCATGTTCTTGGGTGAACCGAGCCTCCACCCTCAGGTGACACAGTTTTTATACTCTCCTTGCACAGTAACCAACATTTTTCCCACTTGGAAATGCCCCACTGCTCCCCTAAAACATGGTCTGCTTGCACAGTTTTTGGAGACTAAGAAATGCTTTTCAATAGCCCTCATCTCTGTTTGAACCCATCTGGGTAGCAAAAAATATAAGTTTCTCTCTGTGGGTGTTGGAAAGTGCTGGCTGTTTTGAAGTTCTGGATTTACAGCTTTCCAAATTCTCCCCCTCCACTCACATATTTTTTTTAGCAGATTTACCTTCTTGTGGATAAACCATGTTATTCCTCAGACTAAGGACATCTTTGTGATGTGGAAAGCAAGATAGAACTGTTCTTTAAAAATACTTATTCTAGTTCTAAAAAAATGTATGAACTGTTTTTATGAAAGTGTAAAGGTACACAATGATCAATGATAACATATGGGAATAGTCAAACAAAGCTGTACAAAGTAGGGAAAAGAAGGAAGAAAAAGGAGAACTATAAAAGTTGTATTAAATACGTTTACTATGCCAATAGTTTATAGGTCAAAGAAGACTTGATTTCTTAGGAGTAGCATCTCATCTTTCAGCTCAGTTATTTGTACCTTCAGTTGATACAGCTTTGGGGTTTTTGTTCAAATTAGAAACAAAGCATCAGTTTTTAAAGCAAAACCAGTTTGTGATATGGACAAATTAACAGAATAAGTGCATTTTATACGTTCAACACACAAATACAAAAGACAAACAGATATTCTAAAGATAATGTCTGTTAAGAAATAAAAGAAACATACTTATTCCAACCCAGTATTTCTAGATCTCTGACAAGACAGGAGTAGTATTCTGGCGGCCATGGTATATGCAGGTCTTGTGTATTCTTTAAAGCAATTTCCTGTTTAAAAGAACATTAAAAACATCATTAAGAGACATTTCAATATTTTTGCATCTATTTAGTCATGTGATTTTTGCAATTCATTCAAAAATATTAAGCTTATGTAAAATTAACTGTACACTGCATTTGTTTTGTTATAGCCTCCAGCTAAAGCAGACAAAGAAAGCTGTTTTGTAAATTACTTCAGATACTGGTAATGAAAACATCTGCAATTTAAAAAAACCCACAGATGTTGACAACGTAGTCTTCAGATGCAAATATCAAATGTGCCTCTTTTTCAGCTAATAAATTTGAAGTCAAGCATCTTGACTGAAAGAACATTTCAAAAGAAGGTTCTATTAAGCCCACAGCTGTCTCCTGGGCTCCACAGCCACAAAAGATGACACATATATGAAATCCCCCATATTATTTTTAAGTATCTGTATGCAACTTTATATAGAAATAATAAAAAAACCAAACCAAAACAAAACAAATAAAAACAACAACAAAAAAATCAATTTCAGTTTTAGCATCACAGGATCCTGGAGATTAAGTTTTGGTACAGACAGTCATCAAGTATGTCATAATGACTCAAAAAAGAATTTTTTTATCAAAAAGGTAATGCCGTGTTACAGAGAAAACCAAAACCAAACCATGTGCCATTCATGTTGTGCTACTTGTTCTTTAAAAGTGTACTTAAGTTAAAGTTATGCTTACAGGATAAATAAATGAAATTTCTGATAAAATTATTATTAATTTTAAATAAAATAAATTATAAATATAATAGTAAAACCAGCGTAACAATCATTTCTGCTCAGTTCTCCTGCAGTGTCTTCTTTAGTTTTTACTACCTACACTAAGGATCACTATTTTACTATTTTGAATGAATTATGCTTTCATTGCCTTATCATTTTCTGAGTGCTTGTGTATCCAGGCAAATAGACCGGACTGTGAATATTGTGAAATATTCCAAAATAGCCACATGTAGACATTCTTATTCAGTCCTGTTCCAAGCACCTTTGCCTGGTTTCGTGTAATCCAATTTGGCAGGGACTTAACCACTACTGAGGAAAAGCATTCCCAGCATAGAGCAGTTGTGTAATACCAGGAGGGTATTTTTGTTGTTGTTTTGAAGAGTACTTACTGTGTTTTATTTCTAAGTTAAGTAGGTTGTACGCAAGTATTCTGTGCCAGGAATGTTCATGGAATAATGTTTTACCAACAGCCAAGCAATTGTCTGTTTCGTGTTGTTAACTAAAGACTTTGCTACACTTCAATCCAGATTAGAAAAACTTATTAAAAGAATAAGCAGGAGTCTTTGAACTATAAAAAAAAGCAGCACTTTACATTTATTGGTCAAGTTGTCACACAGGTGAAAGCACCTTCAGCAATCCACTGACTGTAAAATCCTCTGTATGATTCTAAGCTTTCTTTACCATCCAGAGAAAACCAGGAATTACAAGAAAATCATTGTAAAGAGGATGGATCTATACTGAGATCCCTTGCCAGGATTTTTATTTTTCTGTAACACTCCAATTTCCAAAGTGTACAGTCACTTAAAATCCTAAAGGATATTTATACAAATATTACATGAACAGCACACATACAAAATCACCTCTGCTTTAAAACAAACAAACAAAACAAATGTAAATACATCTATCAAACAGTAAACTGCAAAAAAATGAAAGGGAAAACCAAAGCTATAAGACCATTCCATCTCCCACATATATATTCTGGCACTTACCAAAACAGTTTTCAGCTCCACCATAAAACTGACAAGATCTGGACAGCTGTGCAACCTCTGGAGGGAACACAGTATCAGTTCATTTTCTTCAGCTCCTAACTTCTAGTGGTAAACAACTTCAGTCTAACTATCTATTTTTCTAGTACTGCCAAACCGACTGGCATAAAAAATTCCAACTGTATACCACATGTTTAAACATTTCAATTACAAAACAAATCTCCCAGAGTACAGGAAACTTTCAGTAAAGTTAACCATCACTTTCATCACATCATATCACATTACACATTTATGTGGTTTATGAAGACTTTACACTTTACTTATTTACAAAGACATTTCTGAAGACTTTAGTCTTCACCAATGAGAACATAAGCTTTAGAATCACCCAGAAATGTTTCTCAGGTGGTTACATTTTCTTTAGGAACTCTCCAGACCCGTCTGTACCTGATTACAGATCCCTGTCTATCTTCAGTACATGTTTACACTTTCATTTCCTCAGCTCTGTATCTTTGGCTACTCCCAACTCACAACCCTTGTTCTACAAAGCGGTGCACAGTCCATGAGATACAGGGTCTCAACTAACAAACTAACATGTGTGACAAAGATGCCTTCTTAGAAACAAAATATTCTTTGTGACTGCAGGGCTGTTACATCCCTGCTCCAAAGTTTCTTCTGGTTAGGGAGGTTTAACTCAGATTCCTTGACTGTCTACAACACAGAATGAGCTAGATTTATCAATAATTAATTTGAATTCTCTTCTTTGCATTATGAACAGCTTGTTAAAAACACACACACACACACACACATATATATATATATATATATATAAAAAAAAGGAAAAACAAAATCCCCTCCTAATTGAGAGATTAAAGAAAAATTCCAGTGAAATGTCAGCAGGCATTTATTAAAAATCATTCTATCTTCAAAAATTAAAGCTTGAATAAAAATAAATATTTACTAAATTCTATCCATCTCTCTCTAGATTGACCTGCAAACCCTCAAGCATTTCAAAATAAATCCTGGCCATACAATGAAAGGAGAGTTCTTTAACACTTTAAGAATATGTATGTGAGTATAAGCTTTTCAGAATTGTTATCAGTATAGATTTGACAGAAGTGGTTTTAAAAGTTATGTACCTGCTTTAAAATATGCAGATGTCCATGCAGGATCTTCTTCAGGTGCCAGCTACACTCTATCCTAGACAAACAGTATTTTGCATAAACTTTAAATTGACATTATATGATTTTTTTAGAAGAGATCAGAAAGTCTGCTACACAACAAAAAGGTTTTCTTCGAAAAAACAAAGTAAACAATACTTCAAAACTTCTGTTTCATATTTAAAGTTACTTAAAACTTTCAAATGTCACTATCCCAAAGCCCATTAAAAATTAATCCTTTACCTACAAAAGCCTGTTCCTTTGCAGAAAACAACATAATTCTTGCAAGCTAATATGACTTCATAAAATATACCAATATTTAAAAACAATACCCTGAAAATGTCAAAGTCACCTATGATGTTGTTCTAAGTACCCCACTTAGGAGATAATAAAGCTATTGAATACCACAGCTGTTCACAGCTCAGAGCAGGCTGGCCCAGGCACAAGTATGGAATACAATGTTAAAGACTAATCCATGCACGTGTGCATACACACAATACACATATCCACACCACACCACCCCCATATTACCATGATACCCACAGTAATAAGAACAGAGCTTTTAAAGTAAAGTTGGGTAACACAATATGTATTAACAGGAAAGAGAAAATTAAGTTTAAAAAAGCTATGCTAACCATCAAGTACATAATTGATTAAATTTACAACTTTGCACTCAATTTTGTTTCCCAAATGATAACATATGAACATCTTTTTCCAACTACATTGATTTATATATAAATACAACCAATGAATTACAACAGGTTTCAAAGTTAATTAACAACAAAATATTTTGATATAGGCAATGTTTATTGTCAGCATTTATTAACACTGACGCTGTACAATTTTGTTGCAAGGTTGAATTGAAACCAGTAAGAATTAATTACCACACTGATATTGGAAAAAAAAGAATAATTCATATGCATATCCATCATTGCTTTTATCAAAATAAAATTTCATTACATACACTTACTGCTTTCAGAAAACTATCTCACCTTGCATTTTTCAGTTGAAAATCCATTGGTAACAGTATCCTGATATGGAAGTCTCTACCCTTTAAAATAAACATTTAGTTAAAGGAAGGTCAGCAAAGAAAAATATTAAGACACTTGTGGGAAGTATTCCCAATAAGATCAGCTACTAAGAAAGAAAGAAAGTTCATCTTATCTGACTTTCCAGAATATTATTCATAGTTTCTTTATTTAGGGGAAAAAAAGCAGCATGAGTAACAGGTAGAAATAATGCTGATTTTAATTCTGAAATTGAAATACTCTTAAACTCCAACTCACAGCATTCAGTAAGAATTCTTCAGTGCATCACATTTCATTAAGCAAAAATTACGCCCTTTAGATTAAAATAAACATTATCCAAATCTGGACAAAACCAAGACATATAACTTAATCCAAGTCATGCTGAAGTACATGGAAGTCTCTTCAGCTCAAGTAAAAGTTAAAATTTACTCTTATCATAGAAGTACTACACTAAAAAGGAACTTGGGCACTGATCCACAACACATTTCAGCAAGGTTTTAGAAACTGTAAACAAAAAACAATCCCAAGTACATGAAGGTATTTATTTTTTCCTGTTAGTGTAACCCATACCAAGCAGATCTTAAATGCCACCTACTTGTATTTTCAGTAATTGTCCCTATTTGTGATCCTCCTTCTACTTTCTTATGGGATGATCAAAATAAAACTGAAATAAAGAAAGTCTGCAAGTAGGTTTAACTCCTCCCTGAAGCAAAGAGGGAAATTATCTCAAAACTTTTATTCCAGACCCTGTTCCAGCTCAGCATACCTCGAATTTATGTCCACAAATTCTGAATTTTCTTCAGCAGCAAGTTAAGAAGAAAACAAGATTTCCTCCTGTGATTAGGTTACTAATACAGTGGATGCTTCATCTCAATTTCCAAAAGGCTTTTCATACTGTTTCCTATTAACATCCTCATAGACAAACTGAAGAAGGATGAACTAGATCAGCTGACAGTGAGATGGACTGAAAACCTGCAGAGCTGCTGGGCTCAGAGGGCTGTGATCAGCAGGACAAAGCCCAGCAGGAGCGCACACAAGGGATCTGTCCTGGGGCCAACACTAATTGACCTTCTGTAGTGACCCGGCTGATGGGACAGGATGCACCCTCAGCAAGTTGGCAGAGGATACAAAACTGGGAGGAGTGGTTGACAGATCGTGTGATTGTGCTACCATTCAGAGGGAGCTCAACAGGCTGAGGAAACAGGCTGATGGGAACCTCATGAACTTAAGAAAGAAAAGTGCCAAGTCTTGCACTGGGAAAGGGTTCACCCATGCACCAACACACACTGGCAGCTGACCAGCTAGAGAGCAACTCTGCAGAAAAGGACCTGGTGGTCCTCATGGACATGAGGTTGACCCTAAGCCAGCAACATACTCTTGCAGCAAAGAAGGCCAGCAACAATCCTCATGTGCTGGATTAGGCAAAGCATTTCCAAAAGGTCAAGGGGGAGGGTGATTCTTCCCCTCTGGTCAGCACTGGTGAGGTACACCTGGAGTGCTGGGTCCTCAGTACAAGAAAGGCATACACATACTGGAGTTAGTCCAGTGAAGAGCTATGAAGGTGATTAAGGGCTTGAAGCATCTCTTAATTGAGAAGAGGCTTAGGGAGCTGGGACTGGTTAGCCTGGAGAAAAGAAGACTCAGGGGGCATCTTGCCAGCATGTACAAACACCTGATGCAGGAGGACTGAAGAAGGTGTAGCCAGACTTCGAGTAACATAGTCTGACAGGATGAGAAGCAATGGGTACAAGTGGAAACACAAGAAATTTCACCTAAATGCAATGAAAAAGCCTCAGTAACAACGGGGGTGGTCAAACACTGGAACAGGCTGCCTGAGAGGTTGCACAGTCTCCGTGCTTACAGATATTCCAAACTCAGCCAGACATAGTCTTAAGCAACCTGCTCCAGCTGACCCTGACAGAGGACCTCCAGAGGATTCTTTCAACCTCAGCATTTCTGCAATGTTCACAAGTGACAACAAGATACATGTTTCAGAGCTGAATATCGCTCCTTGGCACACCAGTTGCTTCCAAACTCTCCCAGAGCTGATGTTTACTGTACACTTAAATTAAGCGCATAACCTCAGACTCTGCTACATTACGGCCTCAGCCCTAATCAAAAGATCACATCTGAGAAAAGACGCTCGCATTCACATCCTAACCTTCCCATTAACTCCAGGATGCATTCTAACACACAGAACATTTCAAACGTTGAAGCTGTTAGAGTACAAATATAATCACTCGCTTGCAAATGTCTTGTGAAAGCTGAATACGAGAGTCACCAAAAATCGTCCTGAATTTTGACTAAAAAACTACCTTTTGAAAGTACAAGTGTGACACAGCTCACGTCTTTTGTCTTCTATTTATTTATATAGGAAGAAAATCCCACATTGTTTCTAATGAAAATACACCCATTAAGAGCTGTTTCTGTGGCCTGTGTGCACAAGCAGGTGTAATGTTTTAATGAGCCACGGCTATAGCATCACTATGTAGTGCCTGTGATGGCAAAGTTGGCTTAAGAGGACCCGCTCACAACCTGTCTTAGGTGTTGTTCTTCTCCCTGCACTGCAGCTTACCAGATCCTCTGCGAGATGATGCAGCTACTGAAACTGAAGCCTCACAAACACAGTAAGCGAGAGGAAGCCACCCACAACGAGCCATTTCCTTCAACTTTTACCTCAGGCCAAGAGGACGAGGGCATTGAATCTACCCCCAAAATAACACTTCGACAAGTATCATGACGAACGCGGCCAGAAGAGCCACCCCGCGTGCCCGAACAGCCCAAACCCGCGGGATGGCGACGAGACCGCCCCCCCCCCCCCGCAGCATCCCCACGGCACGCGGCCGGCAACCGGCCCCGCAACGCCCCCGGCGCTTCCTGCTTCGCCAGCCCGGCGGCTCCGCGCTCGGCCGGGAAACTGCCAGCCCCGGCGAGGGCCGAGGCGGGAACCGCTCCCCCCCTCCCCGAGAGCCGCTCCCGGGGCTGCCCGCCCGCGCAGGCCTTGGGCCGCGTGGGGAGGAGGCTGGCGCGCAGCAAAGGAACGCGCCGCCGGCCGAGCGGCGTGCGGGACCCAGTACCTGCGCGGTGACGAAGCCCTCGTAGGCCGTCCCCTCCCGGTTCTGCGGCAGCAGGAGCGGGCACTGGCGCCGCAAGGCCGCCGCCGCCGCCATGTTCTGTCCTGCCCGCCCGCCCGGCACGGCCGTTCGAATCCCACGCGCCGCCGCCTGAGGGGGCGGGGCTCGCGCCGGCCTTCGCCGGAGGCGGGAAGGCGTGTGGGGGCTCCGGCAGCGGGCGGCAGCTTCTCGGGCGCTGAAGGAGCCCGGCCTCCCCGGCCCGGCTGCGGAACGGCCCCGGGTTCCCTCACGGTTTAAGGACGTCCCGAGGGCGCAAGCGCCCCGGACGGAGGAGAACCGTCAAGCAAGGCTCTTAACGCCCGACCGGCTGCGCCAAATGGATTGCAGTGCTACGCAAGGCAAGGCAAGGGATTACTTCTGGCTCGGTTCATGGGATGCTTTTCTAGGAAGCATACAGTGTTTCCTGCCACAACGCATTTAGGGTCATAAAGGGTCTTCTGCCCTCTCGTGTGGGCGTCTGGATAAAAACCTTCCTCACTTTTCTCGGTGGGCTGCCACTAGGACCTGACAGTCACTGTGTCCGGGAAAGCCTGAGGAAAGAGACTTGAACCAAACTTTGGGGGTTGTTAGGTAGGTTGTAAGAGGCCTTAAGACTCTGCATATTACTAAGGCCGAGCATCATGCAAAACAGTGAGAGGCAGTTTCTGGCTTAAACAGACATATTTGAGAAAGAAGAAACGGTTTTATGAAGGGAAAGGCTATTTACCAAGGTCACCTAAGAGTGTGTCACAGAACTAGCGACAGTCTTGAGAATAAGGCTTCCAGTGTTGGGTATGGTATGAATTAACTAGAGTGGCTAAACCTTGTCAACTTTTCCAGTTATTCATCTCCTGTAATAGAGGAGGTTATTTCTCCCAAACGTATGTTGAGTTTTTCATATTTTTAAGCTAGTGCTTCTCACTGTGGAAATGAGGGCAGAAGGCTCAGCAAAATGTAGAAAAGGCAGTATTAGCAGGAGCTCAGCTGTTCCAGGTTAGGGAGATGCAAAGTGGCTTCAAGTGTTTCCTACAAGTTTTTGTGGCAGAGAACCAGTGTCTCTGATTGCTGGCAGCAGCTGGGTACCTGCAGGACAAGAGGAAAATTGGAAGAGAAGCAAAGAAAACAACAAAAATGTTTACAGCTGCAGCTAGATCTTGTTCCCTTAGCTTGGGAGACCCATATGCGGACTGCATAGAGATAGAGGAGTCAAAAGTGGTCAAACCCTTTGCAGTTTTATATTGTTAGCTATTAGAAATATAGGTACTACATGAGGGAGATGAACGTGAAGCTTTGTTTGCTCATCTCATCTGAGCTACCTGTTAAAGTCTCTTGTGTTCTGTGTTCTTTTTGTATGTTGCCAAAGTTCCTTTGTCCTGTATCCAAGTGCTGCCAATGATTTGCCCAAGCATCAGGTGTACAATGCACTGAGTCAGTAGAGAGCTGAAAGAGACCCAAGATTTACCATTTAAATTCATCATAGTAAAATTTGCAGGAATATGTGCTAATAAAAGTATATCCTCAGTGCTGGTTAATGTGTTTTTCTACAGCTTGCAAGTGCCACTGATGATTCCCAGACTTCCAGCAAAGTATAAGTGTACCTGAGAAAGACATGTTGTAGCAGTTCAGTTCTTTGCAAAAATGTTGTTCTAGTCACTCTTTTTCACTCCAGAGAATTTTGAACAATCCAAGGCTCAGTTATCAATTCAAGAAACATTTTCCAAATATATGCACAAACAGGTTTTAAATACCACTATGTTTAACCTGTCTGCCCATAGTTTGCTCCCCTAAAGCCATTCATGTGCATTTCAATACCCAGCATAGCTCACCTTGAGTAGTTAAGCCAATGCTTCATAGTAAATTGCATCTTTCATATTATCTATTAATTTCATTTTGATCAAAACATTTCTTCTCTTAACCTGTTCTTCTCTCCATATGCATCACACTAAAAATTACCTAGAGGTTATTTCTTAATTGCATCCAATGCAAAACTGAAGACAGTTTTTTTTCTTCTTTTGGCCATGTTTATCTTAGTCTCTGACATTAAAAGAAATGTCAAGTCACTTTAGACAAGTGCAGTTATGGACTTGTTATGTTATGTATCTAAATAAAAATAATGTAATATCAGAACCATCAAATATTTTCGTACTGGGGCCCAGAGAACATTAATCATCACCTTACACTGTATATACTGCACACTTTTAAACTTTGTATTAAAATGCAATTACTTGAAACATCATGTTACTTTGATCTGGCACGCAGACTTCAGCATTTTTAAAGCAGGAAAAAAACAAAAGCAAGAAAGTAGTTTGATAGGTATACTTCCTAGGGCAAAGGAGTTCTGGTCTGATCTTTCAACCACAGGTCACCTTTACTAATTTAATTACAATCATTATTTGTCAGAAGAATCATAATGGAGTTTGTTATTATTTATTTGTCCATTCAAATACAATCACATTCAGCCAGTTAGGTAATCAAAAGAAAATCGTGACTTGAGTGACAAAACAAACAGTATGCAGACCAAACACTTCAAAGCAACAATCTCTAGGCTAGATTTTGTTAGTAAAATTATCCTACAAACAGTCAGACAGCAATTCCATTCACAGAAGACAGAATTCACATGCAACCACTCAGTAGCCTAAAAAAAAAATTCATTGAAATAATGTAGATTTCTTACGAGCTTGATTTTTTATTTATTTAAGGATACTATGAAAAGCAAGAAAATAACAGTGCATTGTTCCCCAACATTAGTATCTCCAACATAAACCAATCAATTTAAAAACATGCAAAATTGCTAATACTGTTATTGCTGTCCTTCTTCATAACTCTGTCATTTTATTCATCTCACCCCCAAGAAATGACCTTTTCTGTGCATATCCCCACCTTTTTCCACAAATCCCCTGAGTGACAGAATCTCATCCTAATCCCATTTCCATTTAGATGTTACAGAGAAGCATTGTAGACCTTAGAGGGAATAAGTAATCATAATGGAAAGATAATAATATGTTTATGAAATCTGGATTTTATAATAGCAAATTGAAAAATTACCATAGTGTTTCAAGCTACTGAAGGTCAATATTACTAAGAGTGCAAAGCCATTGATCAAGTGGTTTTAAACTTTCATAGTGTAGATTACTTTTTAATACAGAACATCTCCATTTCAGAGAGCATCTCTCTTCTGAGGTGATTCCTCATCTACCTAGCGATCACAAAATCTGCTGTTAAAAGCAGTAATTGTTTGTAAGGAAAAGCCACACTAGAAAAATATTTAGTATATTTTAGCTGTCTTTTAAGCAGGCTTAAAACAACAATAATGACTTCACAGGCCTCTACAAAGTGCACTGTAGACCACAGTTTAAGAATTTCACCCCTAATGAATTCTTAAAGCTAAAATTATAGGAAAAGACTCATAATTAAATATAGCAAAAGATTTCTTTGATTTGTTGTTCCTTTTTTATTAAAGGTAAATTTGCTTGCTTATGCCTAAAAGCTACACCAAAGGTGTACATACTAAAAAGCAGTGAAACTTAACTGAGGTCCTGGTCAATCAAAATAACACTTAAATCTTGTCTTCAGCTAATTAAGGAGTTCCCTCTCTTCCCACTGTTTGAAAGCACAGCTCAGACACACAGACATTGGGATGAGATGGACTTTTCTGTGACTAAACCAGCAGGCCATGGTTGTCATCTGAAAGAGGTTTTATTGAAAAACTGAAGGGCTCACTGTTGTGAAGGGCAGACATGCTCTTCCCTTCACCCTGTTCCTGGCCCTACACCCCCTTCTTCTCATTTCTGCCAACTCTGGTTCCCAGTCGATCCCCTTGTACAGGAGGCCAGTTTGTTCACTGACCAAAAACTAATTGCTTTTTTGATGAATTCATTTTAGGCTGGCCTGGCTTACTGAAGCTGTGACACAAGCACTAGAGCTGGCACAAAGAAAGCATCAGGAGGGTACACCCACAAGCCAAACCAGCCTTTTTGGAAACAGTGAGATGTTAGATCAGACGCTGGAAGAGCATGCAGGTGAGAACCACCACGCTTCCCCTTCTACCACAATCCTCCCAGACCACAGCTTGTTACTGGCACAGTCTTCATGTATACCTCTCCCTTTGTTTTACGCAAGAAATTTTTGCTACAAAATACTTGTAGTGATATGCATAGAGTTATCTTACACTGTACTTTTATTTCTGGCTATTTTAAAACCATTTTGCATGATTAACAGTTCACAAACTCAGGTGGAGACTCTGGACATCTCTATTGTAATACCTCAGTACAAAGCAGTGCAGCTGTTAACAAAAGTGTCTGAAGCAGCAGATGTGTCTGTTCTGATGATGTTGAATGCAATTGTTCTTCCATGTTTAAGAACTTTAATATCAGAAAACACATGTTGGTACCAAACCAAGAACACTGATTGATCTATTAACAGTATAAAATGATTCAGTAAGCATTCGATATTTTAAAATGTCTTGGGTCTAGAGGGCTCTCAGGGCTCATGTTCATCTATGTACATATAGGCAAAATCTTGGCACTCTTTTTGGCAGATGACCCAGTGAAATGACTGATGTATGAACATTAATGCATTCACATAAATTAACTTCTGCACATAAAAAGCACAGAGGCTTTAAGCCCAATTACATCTCCCTGAATTGTACAAATACTCCCTTTGCAGTCCATGGCAACTCAAGACGACGAGGCCAATCCATATGTTATATTGATTGTAAAGGCACAAAAGTATGGAGTTAATCCCTTTCAAACCTTGCAGTGCACAAACTGTTGGAGATCTTCCAAGCAGCCAGATGAAAGTTGCCTTTCAGAACCAGGGAATGTATGTTGTTAGAGATTCCAACAGATGCTGGGCCAAAATCTGGTCTTGCTTTTACCAGTGTACAGTGAGACTATTTCAGTGGAGATGTGTATATGCATGCCAATACAAAACTGACCATTATCTTGCAAGATAGAGTATAATGCTAACATCCTATTTCCTGTTAATTCCTAGAAAATCAAAGGGAATATAAAAAACATAAAAATATTGTCTTGTTCCAACTAGAAGTTTTATAGCCCCCCAAATATCTGTCAGATACTTCATGATAGCTTTGAGGGTGTTTTGTGCTGCTAATAGGTTTTACCTGGAGATAATTCAGATACCAGACTGATGACTGACAGTTTAAATCTTCCCAGGTAAATTGAAAACTGTTAAAAGTTGCACATGCACCCATGGTCTGTGTTTGCATGTAAATGGGATCTCCTGTGCACACGTGAATTGTAGCATCCATGATAGTCATTACAGATGTGAAACTTGAGAAATGTCTTTCTGGAAAGTTAAAGGCTTAGCACCTTTAG